ATACATTCATTGTTATACATTTTTAAAATGTTCTGTAACCACGTGTCTTATGTGAATTGCTCGTCAATTCTGTAGTCAAATTAGAAACAAAAATGTGGTGGTGCTCTATACATGTAAAATATTTGTATCATTAGTCAAAAGCAAATCAAGTTAATATCAATTTTGATCAGAAAGATATAATGGTTTTCACAACATTTTACGAGAAGAATATATTTAAAAAAAGGCCTATAAAAAAGGCAAGTATTTCAAGGTACCTGTCAAAGTTCATCAAAATCGGTTCATGCGTTTATCAGTGATAATGAAGAATTTTGAGATATTCACTATTATAATTTTCTTATAATGTAATATTTGTATGGAAATTTATAATTTAGAATTGGCTGGTAATAAACAAAATAGACTGACTTTTAACGTGACACTTGTTGAGCGTAGTATCGTCCCAAGAGTCTCCTATATTGCATGCAATTATAATAATGTGCACAGAAATATTTAAGTAGTTAGTGTAAGGTTCTTGAAAACAAAGACTTTATTCTTTGAGAGCCAATTTTGTCGCCTTTGCAGGCAAAAATCTTATTAGTGGACCGCTGAGTACTTTTATCTTTATTATTTTACATAATGATAACCTTTGATATTAAAAATAATAACATTTAGATTTCGTCCATGAAATGTTTGGTGAATTTAGTTTTAATGGTTGCAGCGGTTTAATTACGACTAACGATCTAATAGCAAAACCTCGCTCATCCTCTATAGAATATTCAAGTCACATAATTATGACTATGTATTGCTATCTGAAATTTTCTTTATATTTAGACATATAATAAAATTCTAACTGAGTCGAATCTGTACATTAAATATTTTTTGGAATATTTTATTGAAATAGTCAATATAATTGATACAGAAGCCAAATCTATAGTTTTTAGAATTTTGGTCAATACGTCTGTCTGGGAACGCATCACGAGAAAACCACTGGACAAATTTTGATGAAATTTGGTATGATGATAGCTGGTTACCATCATCATCATCATTTATTGCGGGAAAATATATTCTTAACTCTGAGAAATCTATACTAAACGTTAAAAGCGGAGCGGCGAGCGGAGCGAGGGTGAGTCGCTAGTATAGTATTATTATTATTAATAGCCGCCATGCCTAACCTGTGTTGTAGAATGCACATTAATTTATACTAATGTTATAAAGAGGAAAGATTTATTATTTTGTTTGTTTGTACCGAATAGGCTCCGAAACTACAGAACCGATTTAGATGAAATTTGGTAAGAACATAGTTTGAGACCCTGGGAAGAACATATTTTTATCCCGGAAATCATCTCTGAATGAAATTGAACAATAAAAAATGGGGATGAAAGTTTGTATGGGAAAGCAATATTATACTTTGACGTACCTATAGTAAATATAAGCATGTGAAAGTGTTTCAATATTTCGTTAGTTCAACGTTTTAATTTTTAAGTTAACTGCACAATAAAAGTAATTTTATTCCCTCAAAGGATGAATTTCGAATAATTCGGGACGACTACTCGACACGACCGGTGAGAGTTAAGGCACAGTACCGACGGCTTAACGTGCTCTCCGAGGCATGGGGTGAAACACTGCCAACTTCCCAACTCCGGACTGTTACTGAGGCTTACGATACAGAAAGACACAATAACTAAATTTGGCCCGACGCGGAACTCGAACCCAGGACCTCCGGGTGTGCAGCCGTACATGCCAGCCACTACACCACCGATGCAGTTAAGTTATCCCTACACAAAGTAAAGTTAAAATCGGTTCAGTACTTTATGTGTGAAATGCGTACATCTATTTTGCTATGTTAGGTACTGTTTTATTATATGTATAGATATAGATTACGCTTTAATGTCACGGATTTTTGAATTTTTTGTTAGAAGTTTTAATGTTAAGGTTTAATGCATTGCACCTCTTTAGTCACTGATACAATGCAACTCATATGATGTAGTAATAACTATTATAAGCGAACTATTAAGCTTCGATTTGGCAAGCAATATGTATGTATATATAATCATCGTGTAAAAATATTGCTGCCTTTTTCCTTTATTAATCTCTCCACGACCGCGGACACGCCGGCGTGTCAGTTAACAATAGATTTCTAAGAATTTTAATTAATTTCTTAGAAATTTATCTGGAGGTGTTAATAGAAATATATCAAAGTATACTTTTATCAATACGAAAAACGTTTATTAATATATTATATAAAACATGTTTTTTTTTACTTCGAAATTAATATAGCTTTATATACAATAAACAAAATTACAAATATACTTAATTATATATACAAAACAAATGTACTTAGTTATTACTGTACAAATCATGTCCGCGTGAAATAGCGGCAAGAAAGATAGCCGCATTCCCCCGTTTAATTTCAATGTCGATTCTTTGGGCGAAAAATGCGTCAGCTCTCCTGTCACCAGTAGAGACGATCAGACGAGTGTTATGTCTTTTAAAAAGTGCTTATTAGCACTTTGATTCCATGGGCCAAAGGTTTCTACATCAAATGGAATGAAAAAAAATTTTGACTAAGGAAGGCGTATTTACGTAACTTAAGTAGTTCGGCCATCTCCGCCGCAATTCTCACTTTAGTTATCATCTTATTCATTTATTTATTACTATCAATAATTAATTAATATCAAAATAATTATTTTAAAGAGACACCCTCCAAGTTTCAGGTCTCTACAATCAGCGGTTTAGGCTGTGCATTGATCCGTCAGTCATTCGGGACAAAGCATTTTATGTATATGTATAGATGACACTCGCGTTATCAAAAAGAATCTAATGACTCGGTATGAATAAATAAAATCAGCCTACGCGTTTGGTCTTCAGAACGCCACATAGGAACAAACATGCATACATACATACATACATACACACATACATACATACATACATACATACATACATACATACATACATACATACATACATACATACATACATACATACACACACACACATACATACATACATACATACATACATACATACATACATACATACATACATAGAATGATTAACACATTACCCTCCTTAGCGTCGCGCAGTTGGTTAAATGATAAAAAATCTATTATATTCAGTTCAGTAACGTATTTTATTTTTTCTACATTTTATGATTTGAAAGTAAAAATGAATAAATATTTGCAATGAAGGAATTAATACATCTATTCCTATAGACTGAGTAAATCTTATTTAAATATAAACTGTAAGTTAAAAAGGATTACTGATAATCGCTGTTATTGCAGAATACTATTTATAAAGTGAGAATAAGTTGATAAAAATTCCTTAGCTTTGAGAGATTTACGCGAAACAAGAAAATCTAAGCTTACATCTGGAACAGGTAATTCAATACTAGAAATGTTTAATTAAACAAACAAAGGAAGGTAGAATATCGAAAGTAAGAATTGAAAGTTCTCAGAACACTTTACCAGTGCAAGATAATAAGAAATTAAAAAGAAGTTAGCATTATCATATTACTTTCTGTTCACGACCTTTTGCTCACGAACTAGGTACTTAGTATACTTACTAATAATAAATAAATAAATAAAATATAAATATGTTGGGACATAACACACAGTACCATCTAGTTCTATGGTAAGTTACGAGGTTTCTGTTATGGATACCAGATAGTTGATATACTACACATATGTAGGTAACTTTAAATACATCATACATATTATAAATATAAACAGCCATGACTGTGGTACAAACATTCGTGCTCATCACACAATGAATGCCCCCAGCGGGACTCGAACCCGCGACCGCTAACACAGCAAGTCGAGTCACAACAAACTGAGCCAAACGTGTCGTCTCAAGACTCGTTATACATTTAATATATCGTACATTTAATACATTCTACCTTTGCTCATATTGATATTTGTATTGTTTTGTTACTCGGATTTAAAATGCAATATAGATGCCGATTTTCAGACGAGCACTTGAATTCTGAGAAAGCGTTTTCTCCTTTTAAGTGTTCCATACATCTGATGAAAAACATAATTTCATATAATAAGATCACTTACGCATTTGTTTTTGACGAAAAATAATAAAACTTGGAACACATTATATGAAAATCGATATTGATTGTTGGTGACAACATACATATAGATATATTAAAAACTATCTTACCTACAATGTGTAATGTATACATATAATAAAAGTGTAACTGATCGCTGTCTGTATATGGAAGATATTTGAGAAAAACTATGAATGGGGGCCTTTATTAACGCAACCCAAAACAATGATTTTTAAATTTTTAACTGTTTGTCTCTGTGTTTGTGCGCGCTAATCTAAGAAACAGCTTAACCGGTTTGGGTGCGGTTTATTTCACTTGTTTATTTCACCTAAGATTTAATATTTGTTTTATTTCAATCGGTTCATAAATAAAAAAGGTATGTCTGTTTTTTTTAAAGAATCTATTAATAATACTGAAAGAAAGTATAAATATACATGTTGTACAAAAAGCTTTATTAAACGCGACATCCAGCATAATTATAAAACTGAAATGATGAGAGTTACATAAACTTTCATCCTCAATCCCCCTTAAGGGATAAATTTGGAAAAATGCTAAAACACGTATTTATTTAATTGTATTAAGGGCATTACTAATACTATGTTTTAAGTAGTTCTGACCATAAATATTTTTTTGGGTTGTCTTATAACGTGTTTTCCCGTGGTAATGAGATAATCTCCCGCAGTAAAAAGTAGCCTATATCGTTCTCCAGCCTTCCAGCCTTCCAACTAACTCCATACAAAAAATCAAGCGAATCCGCCACTCCGTTTCGACGTAAAAAAAGGCCAAACAAAAAAGAAACAAACAAACACACTTTCACATTTATAATATTATAGCATGGATTATTGTTAAAAAAGTGTGTAGTTGTCTTAATGTAATAATATCATATAGGTAGACATACGTACATATTTATATTATAATATATTATGATGTTATTCGAACAAAGAGAATTTTCATATAATGTATTTCTTACCATTTTGTATCGATAATATTTAGGTTTTAGGTTGTTATAAGGTGTTTTTGATACACAACACTGTTACACTGATTTTTATTTAAATTTAAATGTTACTGTTTACACAAATTTCATGTATTTTTTTTACTCGAGCAGAATTATTTATAATATATATTTATATCGCACACTTGTAAATAAATCACTTATAGCACTAAACAACGCACACAACTTTTCATAGTCACTTTCAGAACTCAGTGTGGAGTGAATTTGCAACGCCCGGCGCAACCGTGCTATTCCGACGTCAAAAGTCGAATAACATCTTTCGAACCCCTGGCATAGCCCAGTTTACCTAATAACATTTGAAAATGTATGCTTGCTCTCATTTTTTAATTAATATAAGTTTTGGTAGTGTTTCAGTGTTCCTACTAAAAAGAAGGCACTTTCTCATTAGACATAAATGTACTTAATCCTTCAAATCTTTCACTATTAAATCTGTGAAACTCTGGAAGGGACTCCCAATGGAAATTAAAATATCTATATTTATTATGTATATATATTTATGTCTTATATATATATAAAAGAAAGTCGTGTTAGTTACACTATTTATAACTCCAGAACGGCTGAACCGATTTGGCTGAAAATTGGCGGGGAGGTAGCTTAGAACCCAGAGACGGACATAGGATACTTTTTATCCCGTTCGACTGCGTTCCCGTGTGATATTGTTTATCTGTTTGTACGGGCTAATCTCCGAATCTATTGGACCGATTTAAATGAAATTTTGCATGGTGGTACCTTATATCCCCGGACAACGTCTTAGATATTTTTTATCCCGGAAAATATAATGGTTCCCGTGGGATAGTTAAAAAACTATTATAACTTATACAACTTATGCACCTAATTTAGTAAAATTTAACATTCTGTTATTGCCGGTCAAACAACCGGTTACTTTTCATCCGGGAAAAATGAACGGTTCCCGTGGGAACTAATAGATTTTTATTTGTGTTTTTCTAGAGGCGAACCCGAGCGAAGCGAGGGTGAGCCGCTAGTATATAATAAATATATATTGTTAAATTAGTATCTTATATATATGTAACTTTATATGTGTCTTTATTTACATTTTTAACCGATTTCCAAAAAAGAGGAGGTTCTCAATTCGTCGGAACTTTTTTTGTTCACCGATTACTCGAAGACTCCTGGAACCGATTTGGGATTTTTTTTGTTTCGAAAAGTATACTTCCCAGGTGGTCTCATATAAATTTTATCGAAATCGATCGAGAGGTTTTTTAAAAATTCAACAATAAATATATTATAAGTCGGTGCCAGCCTACAATATTTCAAGATATTAATATTTAATAGGTAAATATGTATTTTAAGTATCGAAATATATTAGATTTGCTTTGGCTGGCAACGACTTCGAAAATATCTGATTACGTACTACGTATCTCTTTTAAATGAAAACCTCCGTTTAGTTATTTTTTACATTTTAGTGCTTGGAAGTCGGTTTTTTTAAAGTTTTTATAGTTTTAAGTAAGATACACTTTTATGCAACATTTCCGCTCTTTTCTTATATTTTTTGTACCTTTCTATGTCGCGATCTGTTGCCTCTAAGAGATCGCTTATAGTGATAAGGCCTTATCACTATAAACGATCTCTTACAGGCAACCTTTTGGCAGGAAGCCTTTGCACATCTTTTTAACTATATTTATTTTTCAACCGACACCTTCAAAAAGGGGGAGGTTCTCAATTCGGCTGTATATTTTTTTATGTTTGTTACCTAAAAACTTCGTCATGTATTTACCGATTTGGACAATTTTCGTTTTGTTTGAAAGTGTATACTTTCAAGTTGGTCCCATTTTAATTTGAAAAAAATACCACTACTAAGAATGGAAAAATATGTAATGAAAATTTCATCTACTTCTAATTATCATATTGCTTTGAAACATTGCAAGTGTTTATATTTCCGTTGATAGTGCAGTGGTTCGGTGTCGTCGACCTAATCTGATGGTAAGTCTCTTCAACGGCTAATATTAGACTTTGAGTTAGGGATCATCATGAATGATTTGACAAGCCCAATACGTTAGAATTGGATTTTAGAGTCAGATTTTTTAATGTTACTAATAAAAGCGAATTTTAGTTTGTCATTATTACTCTTGCTTATATAAAGACAATTTTTTTTTATTTCAATTATGTACAGGCGCTACGCGTGTGGGTCAATTAATTAAATAAGACAATTTCTCTATTCCTTCATGTGTAGCGTTTTATATTTAATAGTTTATTGCCTCTAGATATCTCTAGATACACATAAAATAGGCAGCCACAAACTAGCACACAGACAGACAGACTCCGTTTTATCATAATATCCTCATGTAGTATTCCCGTGTCTACGTATTTAAAATATATATAATAAAGAATTTCAATGCGAATATAAATGTTTGAGTATGTTGGTTTTCCTGGATGCTGAAAGGATAATTTATTCTTAACTTTAAAAAATGTAGGTATGCCCACCATCTACACCTCACCACGTCTCTACGTGGAACGTAGAAGACTTTAAAGCTTTGAGGCTTACATGTGTATGTCATAAATTCTTTCATTATTTCAACCCGGTGTAGACGTGCTGTATTTTTATTGCAATTACAAAACGGTAGGTTCCGTTTTTAATAGCGAGAGAACTTTTGTTTTGAAATATAGTACGGTGCAATTAGTCGTCTAAAAAACAGCCTAAACTCAATATCCAAAGTAAAAGTTTCTCTCCGGCTTCAAATTGTTCTATACAGTTCACATATTGTTTTGTAAAAGGATACACCATTTAGAGCGTCGGGTTTGGGGAGAGGGGGAGGGGGTTATAAGTTGGTAAATTAGTAACTACTAATCAAAAAAAAATAAAACTTTCACCAGTTTTTTTTTAAATTTCGAAAACTATTCGGCTTAGCGCATAAGTGTCATACAAAAATAATTTACAATACATTGTTATGATTCATCTTTATTAGATAGGATGGATGCCTAGAAGTATGCTCATGAGGTTAGCCAGTATGCAGATTAAGAGCCAACGAAAGTATGTAAGATTATTGTCACAAAAATATTAAAAATGAGATTAAAAGAGTTAAAAGTTATTTTTCGCTTTACAGTATCAAAGAAGGTAAAGCTGCATGAAATTACAAAGGAAGAGTAATTAAGTAATAGCGTGAGCAAATGCCAAATTTTTTTTTTATTTAGATAACTAAAATATTTTAAATTTTAACTAAAATTTTATTAAAAATACTTGGCATATCATGTTTTCATTTTACGTTTGTGATGTAATGCCACGAGCAGATTTCGCTGGAATCAGTATCAATGCAGTTTATCCGTATTAGGAATCAATTAATCTGAAAGCAATTAATATATCTTTGATCAACGCTAGTGCAAAGGTAAAAAATCTAACAAAGCTTTATTTTCGAACATTTCAATATTTCAGATTTCAGTGGAAATTTTGCATGGTGGAAAATTTGAAATATTTCAATTTATTAAATAGTTTTGTCGGGGACATATCGCATTCCTATTGAGTGTCGAACGAAACGAGGACGAAATAATGTTTCTATGAAACGTCTTTATTATTATTATTTTTTAAATGTTAAATGCTATTTAAAAATATTTTAGTATTATTTGTTTATTATCTATGAATATGTAACAAGATAATAGTGATGGCTAAGTTTCATATTGAATTTACATGAGAAAATTATTTCAATAAAAGTTTTATTTAGTTAGTCTGTTTTGAGTATTTTTAGGTCTATAAAAATTGAAAATTAAGATAGAACAGAGTAGTGACAAGTTGCAATTTGTGTGTTTAATATTTTTTTAATAAAATAAGATACATATGATAAAACAAGATATGATAATACAAGAAGAAACAAAGAACTATAATTAACACATGACAAATAAAAGTTCGTTATTGCCTAATATAAAAAAAGTCAGAATACAGTTAGTAAGTACGCGTACTAAGTATGCAGTACACCAAACATATTTTTCTTCGAGTATCACAAGAGTGTTAATTCTGAAACGTCGTAAAAAATGTTTATATTATAGTATGTATAAATAAAGGTCTAACAAAATCCGTGTTTATGTAAACCGTATAGTTTCGTATTACGTGTTAGTTTGTTTACAATTACTCGAACCGAACGAACGAACGAAGTGTGCTACGGTTTTATTATTAGAATTCCATATATTTATGTTTCACTGAATGGTTAATAATATAAATATTTTATTTTAATTTAAAATTGTGCGAGTTTAGGTCGAGAATAAAATATATGGTGAACCGATTTAAAAATAAGTTGCTGTTGTAATAAGTATATATATATATATATATATATATATATATATATATATATATATACGTATTACAACAGCAACTTTAATTTTTTTAACTTTAATATATAGTATATATATATATATATATATATATATATATATATATATATATATATATATATATATATACTCTAATATCATAGGGGATCTAATGTGAGATATTCGTCTAAACTGTTCGGAGACGAATGTAGTCTATGACACGTTTGGCTCCGTTTGTTGTAACCCTACATTATTATTTTTAATTTTATTTCAGAAGAGACTTCATAGTTTTTTATCACTTGGATATTTTTTAACAATTATTCATTTCTATTAATATTAAACTAACAGTAGAACTTATTACATAGACAGATTATATAAGCAAGTATAATAAAGTGGCTTATAGCTGCCAGGTTTTAAAATATAACGATTAATTCAATACAAGTAATATATGTATTTTTATTTTAAGTCATAATATAAGTTTAATCGTAATATTACGCTAATATTTTTTAGCAATATTACGAGTCATCGTTAGTTTGTTGATGACTTTTATTCTTACTCTGATTTAAAATGAAAAAACAAAAGATAGAATTTACATCGGTACGCGTACAGTATTAACTACCAATGGATGGAATGGATAGGTTCAAGGCTTGGTTACGTTCTGTTTACTGTGAAATCGGAGGGCTTTTTTACGGCTATATTTTTCCACTAGAGATTAATAAAATATATGCCTGTAGGTAGACCAGTACGTCATACAAAAAATACACAACAACTTAATACAGTCTTATATTTATAAAATAAATTCTATTTGTAAGGGGAATTAACTTTTTGTAACAATCTTTCTCGTAATCCTTTCCGGTTGCAATCATCCAGCCAATTAACGCATTTTTTCTCAGCGTTATAATATATATCATTAGGAACAATTGTCACAAAAGGGTCTTTTAAATTAGGTTTTATCACCAAAAAGTCGTTTCTACCCTTCTTCTGAAGAAAAGGTCGATCTAATACTGCCGCGGCTTTCTTTGACAGAGCGTTGAGTAATTCATTTTCAACAAGCACCCTAAACTCATCTGGAGCTTCCGCCTGAGTAGCTGCCTCAACATTGCCTGTAATTTCTTCTCGCAGCCATTTTTTAAACTGAACTGCATTAAAAGAGTTAGGCAATACTTCAAAATATTTTTTATCTCGATCTGCATTTGATCTCCTCATCGTGTAAAGCTTAAGAGGACGAAAGTTATGAAAGAGATATCCAAAGTCCTTTTGAGTCTCTATGATTTCAGTAGATAGCCGAGATCGATCTTCTTTTTTAATTTTGTTACAAAGTATAGCCGAATATTGAAAAAAATCGATACCAATGATAAATAAAATAGCATGCATCTGAAAATATACTGGAATATTAGTCTGCGAAAGCAACATTGTTTATTAATATAATATTCTCGTTTTGAAGCCATATAGTAACTTTATACTAAGTACTTTACTAAGTACTTTATAGTACTTTACTAAGTACTTTATAGTAAGTAGTAAGGCAGTAACTAGTGGGCAGATTTCAGTTTGCATCGATTCCACCAGACCAACCAAATTTATTAATTAATTTATGCTGTTTTTTTTATAATACTAAAGAATAATTAATCTTTGTGAACTAGTACTTAGTGCGATTAGTGCAGTCAGTGCTATAACTATTTTGAAAATATTGTTATCTAACATCCACCTACAACCCACAAAGTATAAAGATAAAGCTCGTACGTGGACATTTTACAGCTCAAGTGAGGTCTAAAGCAGTAGTCAAAATTTAAAAATAAGATTTCAAATCTTACCATTCTCTGCACGATCGTCATTTGTTTGGTTTATAAAAAGTTGTCAACTATCGGCAACATTTTTCATTTGAAATACAAGTCTACCATGAAATTAGTTAGCTTCCTTGTTGTAAATCATAAAATTCCATAATAATTAAAAATCCATAAATCTCGTGTTTGCCACGACCTTCAGGTGATGGGTACCTAGATTTACCTATAGTAAATGAAAACCCCCGTACAATTATTTTTTACTTTTTAGTGTCTGGAAGTTGATTTTAATTTTTTTTTAATTAATTTTTAATTTTCTGCTAATTTAAGTAACAAAAGTCATATTTTGTGTAAAGCCCCAACAAACTCTCATAAGACTCTGACTCAAGAAACAAAATAGATCACATTAAAATCATGAGAAATCTTAATTTTATGCAAACTACATCTTAGAATTTTCTTATGAAGTATAGCTTTATTTTAATTCATACTTATTGCATGTCCAAACAAAAACGTAAGTTAAATTCTGAAATTGGAGATTTTCTTTACAATATTATTATTATCGTGTATTCAGCCCTTTTTAACGTCCCACTGCTGCACGATCAGGCCATAGTCCACCACGCTGGCCAAGTGCGGGTTGGCGGACTTCACATGTCTTTCGAAAACTTGCTAGGCTCTCTTGAACATGCAGGTTTCCTCACGATGTTTTCCTTCACCGTAAGGCTAGAAAATATCAGAGGTGCGAGACCCGGGATTTGAGCCCGCTTCACTCGGTTTCCCAAGTGAGCGCCTTACCACTGGGCTACCACTGCCTTTATCATAATATGTTTAGGATAAATTATTATCATATGTCATTATTATCATATATTTAGAATAAATTACTTAATTTCTATTCTTAATAGAAAATTATGGTTAACTTTTATACTACAGCCAGACAATCTCCAGCATGAAAAAAAAATAAAGCTCTATAACTCAAAGGGATTATAACTCATAGCTTGCAAAATCTGCAAAGAGGCATTCCATAACTTAATTAGAAAAGGTATTTTGTCATATGTAAGGTTATAACAAAAGCTCGTATTATATTCCATATTAATTAATTTACCTAAGTGCTATCGTTTTGTTTTTTATAATCTGAGAGAATTATTTCATACTGTTCATTTATAGTAGGTACCGTGTACTGTATGTGTACCCCATATATATATATATATATATAAATAACCAAAAAATGACGATATTTTTTTTTCTTCGCTCTCACCCCAAAATATCTCAGAAAATATCCCAACAAAGCTCCTGTTAAAAGCGGAGCTCAAAATTCCAATACTAAGAGGTTCTCCATTATTCTTTTCTCCATTATTAATCCAGGTTTATTTGTTATATAGCTTTAAAGTTGAAATTTATGGTATTTTGCATTTTTTAGCTAAACTGTAAGAGTTACAGAAAAATGTTAAATGGCAAATTCGTAGTACGTTTAAAAACCTATAAAAAAGTCCTTGTCAACTTTTTCATATCATCAATAACAACAAAGTTACAGGCTCACGAATATTTATTTTTTCAAATTTTTGCTCTGTATATATATATATACTTTTGAAATTATGATATATTTTTTCGAAATTATCATCAGATTTTTTTGATCGATAGGTATAGGAAAATAGATTAAAGCGAACGTCATTAGCATTTGACGAGTTAGGGCTCCCATACATGTGACATAGACATTTTTGTAAAGTGACAGATGTCCTACGCTTGAGTACATGTTCATACGATGCTCTACTACATTAAATCGGTCTGGCTCTTCATTTAGCATCGGAATTAGGGTCTGGCAAATTAATTTTACACTTCTTTATATTTAAACTATATACAATAATAAATCACGTATAGACAAACAAAACAAATCTATCCCGCGGGTACCGTACATTTTTCCTGGATAAAATTCGCCTATTTGATATACTGATGTATGAACTATATTATTGTAATGTTTCATTAAAATCCAATCAGTAGATTTGTGTACTAATCTGTATAAATTACTATAGTTTTTTAACTATCCCACGAGAACTCTTTAATTTTCCGGGATAAACAGTATTTAAACATTTACCGGGGATATAAGGTACCACCATGCAAAATTTCATTTAAATTGGTCCAACAGTTTCGGAGTTTAGCTCGTACAAACAGACAAATAGACGGAGAAACAAAATAATTGAAAAAAGTCTGGATTTGTTCTATTTCTCTTCTTACATCCCGCTAACTCGGTTTTTAGCTTTTCTTTCTATGTACATACATTCGACCTCTATAGTTTTATTAAACATATGTATAGATAAAATAATATTAAAATTTTAGCCATACAAAAATAGTTTTATTTTTTTTTTGTTATAAAAAATGGCACCTGGCATTTAGACATACTAAAAAACTAGCTTTCCTAGAATTCTTGTTTTCCCGACGTTGCTAGCTCTCATACCATAAAAATTACAAACGAAATATAATAGGGTTCACCATATTCGCATGCATGCATTTTTCTATTTTTTGTTTCACTACGTGAATATGACTCACAGTCGAAAAATTAAATCTAAAACCTGTTTGTTCTTTAGGTTAGTTTTTATGGTTTCAAGCGCTTAGTTATTCATCCTAGCAATACTTTGGAAAGATTAGACATTAAAGTAATAGATCGGTAATTGTGTATATTTATTTATTCATTTTATTGTACAACACAGTAATGATATAAATACAGTAAAGAATATATCTAAAACAAAAAAATTACAGTGTGCACAAAAGGCAGTTTTATTGTTAATTAGCGACTTCTTCTAGCGAACCTTTTGGTGAGAAAATATGGAAGACTATAAATACATAAATATGTAGTATATATAAAAGATCCTTTTTAATAAAAAAAGATTTTAAATTCACTCAATTCGAATTTTAATTTCACAAAAAATCTAGGTAGGTGCTGTAAAAATCAGAAACATCATTTTGTTGTTAGCTTATTTTCGGCGAAATAATTTTGTTGCAAGTTCTGGCTCGATGAAGCCAAAACATGATTGATTATTATGTTATGTTAATCAATGATTTCGATATATATCTCTTTATTTGTGTATTTAATATTTTGAAAATAATAGGGATGGGGAGAAAACGTAGGAATGATGTTTATGACGGTTCGCGATGCTCCGGTATCCAGCATCAGTTTACATGATACTCCATTAATGCCGCCATGTGTTTCCATCTACTGCTTGTTTTACTTCTATTTGTGAGGTTGTAGTTTCCACGGCCGGCGACCACATTTAGTGAGCAGATTACTTTTCCTGTAACTGCTCAGAAGTCGATACAGCCACATTTGATTGTATCAGCCCGTTTGTCATTTTAGGGCAGTCGCTTCGCAGATGGCCCCGCTCGCCGCACTCGTAGCCCCTTGGGCTAAACGTGCGCCTTCGGATTGATACTCCTGCCGTAGTAACCTTACAAGCCCTTGAGTGGGCTCGCTAGCGCAAAGAGCATCCAATGAAGCCAAAGCCTCTTCTCGAAGTGCGACGGTAAGAGCAGATCGGGCTTCACTTGATCTTGTAAGCGACTCAAGAAGACCTGCCGTCGTAGTAAGGAATTTTGCAGGTCTTTGCTAATGGTGAGCTGAAGTGGACACCACGCGATGTTCCGTGAGTTTCTCATTCTTTCTTCATTACGGCGCGATTGTTCCTGCATCATGAATGCCATTTACAGGTGATGCGGGTTCCTATAAGGGTTCCTTTTTTCCTTTTTAGGTACAGAATCCTAATGTTATTTTGCTTATTTTTATCAAAATTATCAGGACAAACAGATATTAATTTTTGAATAACAGAAATCACATCTTTGAAAATATAAATAGACAAAGAATAAATTTTATTGACAATACTGGTAAATAATAAGATTCTGACAATATAATATGCAATATACGTGTTATAACAGATCCTGGGAAAAATGTGTTGGTTTAATTTCTAAAAGGGCACTAAGCTTATAAATATATGTACTTCATAATATTATGCTGTATTATTTATCTCAGAAAATCCAATAGATAATATTGACGTCTAATATCACAACCGTATTGCGTTTGTATTGCACGATATCCGGAAATTGAAATGTCACGATTTCAATAAACATACCCTTTACCTCAATTAACGACACATTACGTATAGGTTTGTTCTACATATTGAAACTTGATTAATATTGATAACTAGCAAAACCCGCGGATTTTCTCGCGATAAAACTACAAAAAAAACTGTTCGGCTTTATGCTATTAGAAATAATTTGATGGCTGTAATGATTTTCAAATGTGTTTGATTTTGAATGAGTATGATTGTGACTCGCGCGTTGAGGGCTTTGTACCGCCGAATATTGTGTTGGTTTTACTAAAATTAAACATATTTTTCATGTTTTTACAATACAGACTCTTTTGATTGCAAAAATAAATTGGCGTATCATACTATGTTTTAAATATATTATGGAAAACCAATACTTTAGTGATCCTTACTCATAATATCCAGTATCTGAAAATATATTTTACTTTGTCGGAGACATAGGTATCTGGTACATATGTATGTACTCGTACTATGTTAAAGGGGTGGGTGGGTGTCATTACATAAGGTTTCATAAATGAAGTGGAATTATGAAAAGGTTTGAAATACTTGTTTGTGGTTTTGTTTATTATTTCAACCAAAAAAAAACAAATAGTGAATTCCAGGCAGATCACATTTTTATTTTATTTTTATACTAATGTTTCCACTCTATCTCTCCCATTTGGTGTTGAATTTCCAAAAATGCTAAAATACATATGTATTTATTTTTGCTGAGAAGCTTTAATATTACATTTCTTTCTTCTTGCTTCAAAAATGACGGACTCCCCAATATAAAATTTTAACCTCTATTTCCTCATCCTCTTAGGGGATAGATTTTCTAAAACGCTGAAATAAATATTTATCTATTCCTAACCAGAAGTTTGTTTATAAAATTTCATGCTTCTTACCCCAAAATTGACGGACTCTACATATAAACTTTCAACCCGTATTCAGCCTCTTAGGTGTCAGATTTTCAACAGCGCTGAAATACATATTAATTTATTTCTAACCAGAAGCTTGTATATGAAATTTCATGCTTATAACTTTAAAAATGATGGATTTCCATAGAACCGTTCATACCTTATAAATAATTTATATTTATACCCTTTAGGATTCGAATTCTAAAAATCCTTCCTTAGTGGATGTTTACATCATAAAATGCATCAACTGCCAAAATTTCAAGTTTTTAACCCCTGTGATTTAGGCTCTGCGTTGATGAATACGTCAAGACAAGCAATTGTATCAGTGTATACATATGTATAGATTAGATGCGTGTTTTTTTATATTTATGTACTTTTGACCCGATTTTGTCATAATTGCGTATAGTGAATGACTCGTGTGCCCTACTCACCTATATTGGCCGTTACTCCATTAGCCTACACGGCATGCACAATATTTATTTCACCAGAGTCTACTCGATAAGCTCTTTATCGAAATAATAAATGTTACATTTATATTACCTAATAGATTTTGATTGTACATATTATTTTTATTTAAGAAATAAAGACTAAAATGCGTTTTTCTTTTAATACAAAAGAAACATAATTTAAAGCTTTTATACTTATCAGATCTTTTTAAATCTTATGTTCCCGAGGGATAGATTTGTATGTGTTTTCTAAAAGCGAACCCGAGCGAAGCGAAGGTGAGCCGCTAGTTTATATAATATAACAAAAGGGCTCGCACTCTAGCCCGGTCGACATCATATGCCTTGCATAATTATTACGTCCAGACGCTTTCGTGGGCCGAGTCTACGAGTATTATGATACCTATAACCAACCCTTAGTATCGTTATTGATCACACTACAATTGTAAATGCGAATGATTGTATTTATATGTGTATGCGGGTGAACATTCGTGTGAATGTGTGTGTGTGACTCAGGAAGAGCTAAACTGTAACCTGAAGTAGTAACACAATGACTACTGTTTGTAAGTTATTATTAGTAAAATATAATTTAGATATGATCGAAAATGAAATGGATTCAAGTGTAATGACGTCACGTCGCGCCGGACGGCCAGTAGGAGCAACTATAAAATGCTAAATCTTTGCCGTTTTTGAGAACATCTTAAAAGTACATACTCGTATACCTATCAAATGACTAGAATCTCACCCTCGCTTCGCTCGGGTTCGTCCCTAGGTGATTTTTATACTTAATATAACTTTATTTATTTATGAACTAATTGAAATAAAACAAATACTAAATTTTAAATGAAGTTTATTACAACACTTTAGTGAAATCCACACACAAATTGCACTGTTGAATGATGATTAGCGTGCACAAACGCACAGACAAATATTCTAAAAATCATTGTTTTGGATTCTATTATACTAAAGAGTCCCAATAATCGTTTTTCTTAAATATGTATATATTTTTAATTTTGTTTCAGAAAATACCTACTTACACATTATCTCACTATGGGGTTACAATGTTGTTAACTATATCGGTTATTATATTATTTCGTTTCTATCAATTAACAACAAAGGACAAATCATAGAATATCAATGAATTGAATATGAATTGACTGGAGGGAGTTAAATCAATCACTCCATGAACAAACGTTTACCATTATACAACACGACAGACAAAAGAGTTCAGTAATTTTTTCTCCCCTATTTGTCAACCGATTACCTTTTTGTTTAGAGCTTTAGTGTTATCAATATAAAAAAATATTAGAAACAGTATTTTTATAATATAAAGATAGATAAAATCTCACTGAGACTAGCCAGATGCGCAGGAGATCGGTATAATAGTATACAAGTGTACGCGCAGACACAAGTGCACTCTCTATTCCTTTTTCCTTTCAAAGTCTGATGGGATCATGAGAGTTAAGGTACAGGACCGATAGCTTTACGTGCTCTCCGAGGCACACTTCCCAACTCCGGGCTGTTACTGAGAATTTCTTGACAGAAAAACTAAATTTGTCCCTACCCGGGATTCGAACCCAGGACTTCCGGATCTGCGGCCGTATATGCAAGCCTCTAGAGTCTAGACCACTGAGGCAGTCATTAGAATAGAAGTGAAGGGACGCGTGACTGCACTTACATAGATTTAAAACGGCCTTACTTTTCGGTCTTTTTTTATAATTATACCAGTTTAACTACTATATTTATTTGTATAATTTTAAATAATTAATCTTTGTATAACATACCACTAGTATAATTGACGCAGAACATCATTAAAATTTAATACCGTAACGATGCCGAGAACACAAGCCTTGTGTCCATGAAATTGATTAATCTAGTGCTATGGACACGAATGTTATGTTCCTGATAATTAGGGTTAAAATCGGTGAGGCATAGGCATAAATTCATGGAATTCGTGGTGGCAGTGAATCTGTCAATGATCTAATTAGCAGAGGCATCTTCTCTCGGTTACGTGGATTAGCCATATTACATCAAGTAAATCAAGTCATATATCAATCAAGAGAGTAGATATAAGATACCTACAAATTCTAGGTGACTATCCATTGATAACTCCGAAACTATATGGTAGTATACGAGGTATACTGTTAGTTTTAATTGCTTTCATGAATTGTAATACTATATACACTGAGTTGTGTAACCTTAAAACAATATCAACTCGACTTTATTATTATAAAACAAATCTCAAGATAAAATAAAACTTCATATATTTTAATAACTTTTATTTATTTTTAATTGCATTTGTTTACTTAGCAGCAGTACAGAAGTAGACAGTTCAACGTGTAGGATTTATTAGTACTTAATAGACGAAACAAAGCGAAAACCACATGATTTAATCTGTACTTTCACGTTCTTTAACATTAAACTAACTCCACAATGTCTTTGCCGAGCTAAATAGAACAAATACATTTGATGCAAATATAATTTTATAATATCATATAAAATATGTAAAAAGGGTTAAACAAATCACTGGCGATATATTTAAGTTAAATGCGACCGCAGTTGATTTAATAAGAACAATGTACAAACTCATGGAAAAGTAAATGATAATATCTAAATACTTAAAATAGAATCGTTATAAAAGAGGATAATATCTATTTACTTAAAATAAAATTAAGAAATAAGAAGCAAATAACTGGCAGTGGTAAAAATTAACGTGTGGTAAGATCGGTTTTGGCACATGATGAATGATGTTTTTTACTCAAGAAACATAATAGAATAGCGGTGAAATGATTCAAAGCGAAAAAAAATATACATATTCTTCCCTAACTACTACAATAATGTTACATTCAAATTGTATGGCACCATATTAAATCGCTCGAAAGGAAGAGCAGCTCGTGTGGTTTACAGGACACAGCTAATTAAAACTTGAATATATGTATAATAGACTTTATCCAATAAGCCGAGTCGCCTAGAAGACTCGACTAGTATTGTCGTGAAATCCCTTAATACTAAATATGACAGTATATCTTAATAAATCTCTACCAAATCTTGTAACAAGTTTCAAAGCCGTATCTTCAGGTTGACGCAAGTGAGACGGAATCGCAATAAATGTAATAACTACTTATGACCTAAAATTTTCAATTGACATTTTTTGCTTGGAACTTGAAATTTTCGTAGAGAGATTATAATATTATCCTTATAAAAGGACCTATAGTCAACTAAGCATCATTATCTGAAACAAAATTATATACATTAGAACAAAAAATAAAAATATAAAAAGTGATATTGAAAATAGGTAGGCAAAATACCTTAAGTCATGTAGATAGCCTGTTGAAGATTTTGACTTAGAACTCAGTTGGTCGACTGTAAAAGAGAGTAAAATATAAATTATGCATTGCGAAACATGTCGTTTAGTAAATAGAGATATTAAATAAACATATTGAAAGAAGACGTAAGCTATAGATTATTGGATTGTTAAAGATGATATGATACTTAGTAGGCATATTCTATAATATTGGCAAAAAACTAGCTAATTAAAACTATGTTAAACTAAATAGCACTTTTTCTTACAAATAAAACTATAAAATAAATTGCTTTCTTATTAATTTTATTCATTTAGTTAGATAAATATTAGTAAGTATTAGTTATATAAAATGAGTTTTCTACCTATTAAGCTAATACAAAGATTAATTCCAGGCTATTCTCAGTACAAAACGACTAGTTAAATACGTACCGTCATCGGATTAGCAGTCAAAGGGTAAAAACTGTCCATAGAAATAAATGTATGTAAAGCTTAAAAAGGACGGCACTAAGGTGAAAAAGGCAAATGGAATGGGTCTATCATAGGAGTTGAAATGGTATCTAGGTGGAGGAGATTCGAATACGTCAACTTCTTCGAAAAAGGGATAAACGTCAGGAAACATGGAACTAGGTATCCAAGCAGCATGGAATAGAAGTGTTAGTAAATATTAATGTAGGCCATATTATTAGCAGATATTTGATTAAATGCTTATTATTTTTATGAACTAATGAAATATCTAAATAGACTTAAAGACCAAACTAATGTTATAGGTTTAGTAAAAGTTAAATTCTAAACATGTTTTTTTCTATCTATTGCCGATGAAGATATGTGAGAGAAACTAACATTTCATTTACTATTAATATATTAATACTGAATAATTAATAATAAATATATAAAATAGAAGCATATTCAAACGATACGCATATTTCAACCATTTTCAATGTCCATAAAACTGTCAGAGGCTTACAAACGTGACTATGAACTTGTATGAGGAATCAGTCGCTTAATTGAATCTATCCACAAATACGCGGAGAGCGATTTAGTGGGAGAGTGGTTAACTATTGATTTTTTCATTTTAAACCATGAAAACTGAAATTTTACTTACTTTATTATTTTTCTTTTCAGTACTAGATGCAAAAATAGGTAAATTCTCGTTGAGTACATATATTGAGATAAAAAAAATTACTTACTTTCTGCAGGGCTGTGCATTTCTTCCAGCCACTGCTTCTCTACCTAGGTTGACTCCGCGATTCAAATCTTTAAATTCTACCTGCTCTATACATCCTGAAAGTCCTGGGTAATTGAATTCAGTGTTCAGATTATCTGGTATACCACCTGAAATATTACAACGAAATATGTTTATTTTTAACCAAAAAGTGAAGACTTTTGCCGATAATAAATAATATATATAAAAAAAAAAAACAAAATAATTATTGACAAAATTTTACATTTTGTGTATTACATTCTTTTCTCCTAGTATAGGAATATATTTTCCAAAATTAATAAAAAAAACATTATAATAGTCTTATCAAGCGATTAAATAGATAACTTCCTACATATGTATCAATATATAATTTAATAATAGTACTCAGATATTCAAAACGATTGAAACATTAAGCCCTAAAAGTTTCCTTATTTACCTATATAGATGTTCGAATCAGCGTTCATAACGTTCGATAAGCCGTTGGTCACTCCTCTCTTGTTAATAGTATCGACAGTCAACTCGACATTCCTATCGTCAAAGAGCTTCGCTATTAACTAAAAAGGAAAAATATTTAATAAATAATAAAATGAAAATATTATGATACGACAGTGCTTAATACGTTAATTAAGTAGAAAATTGAAGTGTTAAAATTAATTATATAATTAATCTGTATAATACGAAGTAAATATATTTATATGTATTTGTTGGTAAGTCCGAATTAGGTTTTAGTTGGAAAAATGAGAATATTTACCAGAAAAATTGGGCCATTAGAGAATACTTTGAAGTGTTATTTTTAATAGGATTTTTTTAAAAGTATAACAAACTATTTAAATTTGAACAAGACGTCTGTCAGGTCAGCTATTTTTTAAAAAGAGCCAAAATAATTAAGCCTTTGTATCAACGAATAAAACTGAAAAATGAACATGAATAACAAACGTTGAACTGATTTCATAACGATATACCTATCTAAAGATCACGCCAGTTTAAAGTTCGCCGACTGTTTACATGAATTGTTCATACATATCAAAGTCAGTAACAGATAACTGAAATGGGGTTGCTGTTCTTAATGAACTAATAATTACATTGGGAACATGATATACGCAATACAATGAACATGCGCTTACAATTATAATGTAAGAATATTTTTATTGTTCAACTTCCGAATTTTATTTCTTTCTTTTATTTATTTTTATTTTTGATAAAGCTTTTGGATAAAAATAATGATGTATGTTTTGTAAAAGTATCGAATACAATATGATATGAAATTTAAAACTTTTTAAAGTTAAATCATAGTTATTGTACTGACAATTTAATCTTTAAAGAATTAAGATATTTTGTGTGTGTATAATATTTATTTATTACCTGGTGTCGTTCGCCATCATCGACCGACTTTTGGTCTATAGAAATAGTGTTTCTACCGCTACCGAAGTCCCATTCCATCACGACTACACCTCTTTCGACTAAAAAAAAAAAATATTTAGTCCAGTTACCACTATAACACTTTATTTAAAATAATCCAGTGAAATATTTTGTTTTTAATAATATTATTCCAATGTGAAATACCTCTGATCATTATAAAGTCTCCGCCATGAGTGAGTGCTGCTTCCTTTTGGTAAAGTAGAACACCATCGTAGTTAGTATGGAATGCCATAGCGATGACTTCAGGACCAACCTCCAATTGATCATATCGCAAGTACTGAGCCGGAAGCTCTAAGTATCCATTTCCGTTGAAACCAACACTTTGAAAGAGATCCAATGCTGTAGAAATTAAACAAAATATGTGGTATAGAGTAAACTCAAAATAAATTAATTTATTCACTACAAAAGAATAAATTACAAAACAACATTTCACTACTTCGTAATGAATTTTTGTTATTAAAGAAATATGTTTTTACTGAGGAAGTCAAAATGATGCTTTTAATGTTGTTTAATTGTTATTTAATACGAAAATAATAATGTCTGACGATTAACATACATACGTAAGTCTCAAAAGTCATATCAACTTACGCATTTGGCAATTAGTTCCTGCATGTCCCAAGGGGCAATCGCATGTATAATTCATTCTAGCACTATAATCTATTTTGCAAGACCCTCCGTTTCTGCAAGGCTGTAGCGCGCAGGGGCCATTGAAAGGTCCTCGGGAAGGAGGAATTTGTTCCTCACAATAAATTCCTAGATAACCAGGAGGACAGGTACAACTCGTCAGATCGGGAGACGTGCAGTAGCCGCCATTGCGACAGTTCGAACAAACAGTAGACTGTAAAAAAATCAAATATTATTGTCTAGGTACGTTAAGTAAACGATTTATTTAAGTGAAAGCTTTCATCGACATCATTCAAAAGCGATATAGTGAGATATATAAACATAAAATCTTGTTGATGGTAATTTTTTAATTGTTGCTACTCCCTTTTTTACTATTCCTACAATTGTAACTCTTAGTTAAAACTTTTTATTTATGTTAGACTTAAAATATCGAAAGACTAGGTACTTCTTTTTAAATAAACTAAGCAAAAAAAATATGTCGGTAGTAGTAACTATTGCAATTAATATATATTTAAGTCAAAATTTCCATCAGTCATTACATGCCCCGCGCTAGAATTACTTGTTTACCCATTCACCCATAACAAAACATAACATACCTATACAAAACGATGTACAACTGATGTGATGTATGTTGTAAATGATAATAATGTGTAATTGATAATAATATTGATAATAATATGTATGAATGTATGTTGTAATTGGTAATTGATGTAAATTGATGTGATTATATATATCAAAATAAAACTTAAAATAATCAAACTTACTTGTGGAATATCACCACGTCCGTACGAACATTCCTGTACGTTAGCAGATTGGATCGATGCGTTTATTAGATCCAGCGTGCCTTGTTGAAGGGTAACCTGTGAGAGTTATACATTGTTATCAAATATAATATTTACATATTCTTATAATATGACATATTTGTTAGTTATATAAATTGTTTTTTTTTTTAAATAACGTTTATGAATAAATAGCAGACTTATTGCAAGTAATATGTATTTTGATTGATCAAATAGATGAAACAGTATAAGCTCCATATTCTTCAGGTTTCTATATCAAATGTGGGTCTTGCATAATTTTTACAGAGTAATAGAAAATTGTGTAGTAGTTTATATATATATATATATTTTTATTTAATTGTTTGATTCTTATATCGGGTATACTTACATCTTTAATACATCCGCTAAATCCTCCAGTCACGCCGGTGTTGTTATTAAGAATGATAGAGTCATCATCTACACCTCCAACAAACATTGCGGTTTCAAACTTCAGATCCTGAAAAAAATGTATATAACATGTTATTTAATTATTATGTAAAATATAACATTAAAATCAAATCAAAATAAAAGTTATACATTAATTTAATAACCTATAAAAAAGCAATTTATCTCAAACTTATTGGCGTAGAATGTACTAAAAAGTGAATTTCATTAAAATTAATAATGTATGGCCCAATAATATAATTGAATAAATAAAATAATAAAAATGCTTCACTCGTTCGCGTTTTTAAATGCCTAATAGTCATGTCCGTGGTATTCCAGGAGATAATCTATTTGTGTACAAAATTTCATCCAGATCCGTACAGCCTTTTAAGAGAGACGTGACAAACATACACACATACAAACTTTCGCATTCATAATAATAGTCCGTAAATATAATTAATTGCTTGGTACGGTTAGTACATATCTTACCCTAGCCGATGCCAGCTTAGCCTCATAGCTATCAGTATCCATCTGTAAGTACACGTCGGCACCCATACGTGCTATTTTTACTAAAGTCCATTCATTTGAGAGAAGAGTCTTGTTGCTTACTAAGACGATTGGTGGATTGCCTGTTACAAAATTATGTTTTAAAAACCTTATGTTTGATAAAATATTATATTTTTTATGCTGTGATTACTCGCCCGATCTACGGGTCTACGGGAAGCTTTTTCGTAACTGACTCGTGAATTGATTAAAATTAGTTTAAGCTTTGTGATCCAAGCAAAAATATCCCATTTTCTCAAAAAATTTAAATTCACCGTTAAATAAATTCTCAGAAAAAAATATGTAATGTTAAAACCACGGTAATGTTATGCATACAGTATTGCAACTCGCCCCTGTCCTTGAAACAATGACCTACAGCCGAGTGGCACGTACCCACGCGACAGGGCTGCCCGCCGGCCAGTATTTTAATTTCATCTACCTACTTGAGTTTCTTTCTAATTTTGTGATTAGAAATATTGTATTTTTTATTTAAGGAATATTATTAGTAGATTTAATTAAAAAATCTCAAATTTATAAGGGTGGTATGTGACCATTATAAATTTGAGATTGAAAAATAATTGCGCCTCGACTGAGACGTACGAAAAGCTTTATTGTTAAATTTAAGGGTATAAAGAATCCGCATTCGGATAAAAACTTTAATTAAAAATAATTTAATTTTTATTTTTAAAACGATGTCTCGATACTTTTTTGTTTGACATTAGTGAAGTTACGGGAGGAATAAAGTGTTTATTTTTGTATCCAATTATAAAAGTTACATTGTTATGTAACTTACGCATTTGGCAATTACCTCATACAATTTTCGTATCCAATTATACGATCTGGCAGCCCCGCACCGTTGTCTACAGTGTAGTACAGAGTGTATACCAAACGCTACGCGCGTAGGTATAACTCGATTTTCGACCGTTTGTATGAAGATGGAAGAATGTTACTGTATGTAACATTACCGTATTAAAACTTAAGATCGGATTGGTAGTTTCAGAGATAAACACATTCAAAGAAACAAACTATTTAGCTTTATTTTTTTTACAATAGAAGCTCTTACCATCTCCAAGGTCGAAGCGGAACTCAAGTCGTCTATTGTGGACAGCCAAAGAAGCGAATCCGCCGTATCCTCGGGCTGATTGCGCGCAGTACATGATAATACCGTCCGTTACTGGTGATTTAGGCCTAATGGCCATTGACATTCGTAAAACACGTGACGTGTTCGGGGACTTTATGGCGAGATAAGCGCTCCCAGTAAATGCGGGATAATCGATGTTCTGTTTGACATTGCAGCTGTAAAATGATCAAATAATTAATATACTTCTACATATAAATTACTAGCATGACCTTATTTCCTTTACATATAATATAAAATTACGTTATCAATCGGTCAATATATTGACCTGGCTGTTTCTCTTTTTTCTCCAGCTGTAGATTGTCTACAGCCTACAAGTATCAGCGTTACACTTATCCCGATAAAATTAGATACTTATAAAATTTACATAGAGAGATAGGTGGGTTCTACTAATACTTAATTACACGCCCCGAACGTATTCTGGCTTATAGTTTTATTAAACCTATTCATACAATTTTATTTGTAATATTATTAATATTAAAAGGCTAAACAAATAGAAGAAGGCACAAACAAGAGCATGGAGGTATTTTATTAACAAATCATATTTCTTATATTTTAAAATTATATCTAATAAGTCCAAGTGTCGTAATTTTAACAAAAATTCTTACAACTATACTATTAAAAATCGCAGTTCGTGTAAAAGCGGTCCCTCACCGGGAGCATTCGCTTATAATGTAACAGGTCAGATTCGAGCATTACACAAGTGAAGAAGAACTGAGCATTAGGAACGCCGTCTCGTTTACATATGACAAAACATATTTGTTTTCACTATAGCGGTTATTTTCAAAAGATATACATTTTTGTAGTTTATTAGAAACGGATATAACTAGTTTATTTAATTAGTATGTATGGGAATTAAAAAAAAACTCAAAATAAAAATAAATCTTACTTTCTGCCTGTGTACGTGATGGGGCAGGTGCATTTATATCCATCGACGGTGTCTGTGCATTTGCCCAAACCACAAAGTCCTGGCCTGCAAGATTCTCCGGGACGGTCACAGTTCAATCCTGCGTATCCCGTGGGACAGATGCACATGTAACCACGCTCGTTGCGAGCCTCCTATTTTATATAGAAATATAAATGTAGTAAAAATGTATTAATGTTTAAAGTCATATCAAATTATTTATATGTAGTATTCTTCTATCCTTAATTACGTTTTTAGATAATGAATCTAATTTTTGGTTTATACTATCGAACTAATTGAAATAATACTAGTGGACGCCTAGTGGTCGAAATTCGACACAATCATTATTGAAAATTTATTTGAGGAAAATAAACCTACGAGTACATATATAAATAGAGCTTACGTATTTATAGAAAAAAATCCAAACCTGTTTATCCATAACAATAAAGCTCGTCAATAGCTACTACACAAAATAAAATACCAGTCAAGGAACAGACAAGAATAAGGTAATGAACTGTTGTGTCTTTGCCTACATATTTTTATATAGAAATACTCCTACAAAACATACAATTGTATTATGCACTCAGCGTACTTTTACTAAACCGAATGTCTACGAAAAATACATACAAACGTATGTACACACAAATAGATATATATTCTGTATGTAGCCAATGAATCGTACCAAATAGGACATAACAGGTGAACTCTAGTATAGAGATATACTCGTATGTTACAACATCATATATACTAATATTATAAAGAGGCAGAGTGTTAGTTAGTTTGTTTGTTTGTTTCCTTGTTTGTTTATTTGTTTATTTGTTTGTTTGTACGCGCTAATCTCAGAAACTTCTAATCTGATTTGGAAATTTCTTTTTGAATTTGATAGCCCGTTTATTTAGGAAGGCTATAAGCTATAAATCATTATGTACAACCCAAGGAACCGGAGAAATAATCATAAATGTCAACAAATCGCGTAGTATTTTATATTACAAGTACAAAAATAATAATAAAGAGAAAATATTTATCTAAAGAATAATGTTACCTGGCACATTCCATCGTTTTGGCAAAGATTCGCTGTGCAAGAGTCACAATCATACACGTTGTTCCTCTGTATACTGTCTGCCATTATTTTCTTTTCCTCTTTTCCAAGAATCAGCATGCTAACACAGCCGACAAATCTAAACAAAAAAGTAATAATTACAAGAATTAGACAATATCATTTTTCAGCGTGTGTGCCTATATATTGGACCAATTTTAAAAATAGGAGGAACTCAATTCGGTGCGGTCGGTCAGAAATTTACGGGTAATGGTCTGGTGTAGATTAGACAATCTAGAGAATCTGGTAGAGTACATTCAGTATCTTTACAAATTTTTAACGATTTACATTCTTTTATTTCATGATAAGCATGAATCATTCCTTCCATAAATATAGAAATTACTAAAACTTCTAACTATTACGGTTTGATATGTTATTTAAAATGTAATCTTACCCTGTAGCGTATTCTAGTTCTGGAGGGCGTTGATTTGGTACTCCACCAACATACAAATTGGAATCTAGATCTAGTACTGCGTATGCATTAGATGACTCGGCTACAAATGGTCCAGTGTTGTCTATGTCCATTGTCACTGAAAATAATGATAGGTTAGTTGCAGTTTTTCTTTTGTATTCGGCTCTATTTGTCCCACTGCTGGGCACGGGCCTCCTTTGCTATAATGGGGATCAGGCTATAGTCCATCACGCTGGCCATATGGCGCTGGTTGGCGGACTTCATATGTCTTTCGAAAATTTGCTAGGTTCTCGCAGACATACAGGTTTCCTCGATGTGAGAAATGATTTGCACCTGTAAATACCATACGTGCGAGACCCAGGATTTGAACCTGCCTCACACAGTTTATCAAGCGAGCACGTTACCACAGGCCTACGACTGGCATTCTTTTGTATAGACTTAAAATTTTGCTGGCAGCAAAGAAATAATGTTCAATTTTTGTTAATGAATTAACTCAAATACTATTAAGTGCTAACCTTTGGAGCCACTTCTGCTCAATCGTATTGTGTGCCAAGCATTCAGTTGCAATGGCCTATCTCCCTTTACAATCAATGGTGCGGATGTGTCGAATTTCAGAGTAAATTCTGGGACACCGTTAACTAGTTGGAGGACGAGATAGTCTCCGGTGCCATCGTCATTCTGGCTGCTATATAGGATGATTCCATTGGAATCTGATGAAACAGAAACATTTTACATTAAACTTAATACTTTTTTTGGGACATTAACATGAGCTTCAAATTGTACAAAATAATAAATTATGTTTATTTTAATAATAATTTATAAATATATGTAACTTCTGTATTGAAAATAATATTTTTGCTACAAAATATCATGTACGCCAAATTAAATAATTTAGTAAAAATAAAAATTACGTACCAGATGGTTTGAAGGAGATTTCAATATCGAATCTGCTATAGGCATCCTTCAACGTTGGTAGAGTAAGCCAGCCGTCACCGTTGAATTTAGGCACTACACCTGAAACGCGAAGTGTCACCCGCGATTCTTCTCTGGCCTGGTTATTTGATACATAGCACACGTATGTCCCAGAGTCAGCTTCTGTCACGCTTTCCAAGTGTAGATCACGCTAAAAATATTTTTAATAGCAAATTTAATTATTACAAAATATATTAAAGTTTAAATTTTAAATTGTACTAATAAATTTTCAATTTAATTATATTTATTCTTGATACAGTTTTCGTTCTTTATTATTGAAACAATCTGGTGTTTGTGTATTTAGGAAGTACAGATTGGATAATCTCTATTGAATTAAATTTACAACATATTTTAACCAGAATAATATAACAATAATATTTAAATTGGCGCTGTCTGCAGACACACGCTCAGTTGTTAAATGCTTTATATTTTATACTTTATGATATTACTATAAGTTAATAAAATATTACATGATGATGTTCTCCTGAACGATTCCGGCCACGGCGGCCAATCTCATTAAGACTAGCCAACTGCGCAGGAGATATTATAGTGCACAAGTGTACGCGCAGACACAAGTGCACTCTCTATTCCTGTCACTCTCATACTGTGGTGGGATGACCACTCGACACGACCAGTGAGAGTTAAGGCGCAGGACCGACTGCTTTACGTGCTCTCCGAGGCACGGGGGTGAAATACCGCCAACTTCCCAACTCCGGGCTGTTACTGAGGCTTAATATACAGAAAGACTCAATAACTAAACTTGGCCCGACCCGGGACTCGAACCCAGGACCTCCGGGTGTACAGCCGTACATGCTAGCCACTACACCACCGAGGCAGTTAAAATATTACATATACGTAATAAGAATACATTTGTCATACCTCATTCTGTCTGAATCCAGGAAGAAGTTGGGCGTTTTCGCGTCTCCACTCAATCGTCGCTGGCTCTTCTAAATTATGGGTACACGGTAGGTCTATTGTTGCTCCTAATCTAGCGGTGTAAGTCGTATCTTTATCTATCGGTGGGTAGAATGGTTCGTTAGTTCCTAAAAATAATTAATATATTGTAAAAATTGAACTAAAATGGTTGGTACAAGATTCTAAGTAGAATACTTTGGAGGAGTTTTAATGAAACTAAAGTGAAACTCGTTCCTGATAACGTAAAACTTGTTCAAATCCCAAAATGCGTTAAAATATTACTTTTATATTTTTTCATGTTGTATTGTTCGGAAATGTTTTTGAGTATTTTTAACATATGGATATTGGACATTTATAATCAGAAACACAGTAAGTTTACAATTTATAGATTCGTATAATTTAACTTAAAGCCACTACTTACATAGTTTAGTCCAAACTTACGTACAAACTGTATATCTGTACAAAACTTTACTCATTCAGTCTATTAGTTCAGTACTATTGAAGGGTATTTATTTAACGAAATATTAGGATTTTTCTAACAAGCTTTTAAGTGTACATACCGGGTGTAACTTGGAGAACAAAATCGTCATACGAGGTGCGTCCATATTCATCGCGACCAGTACACCTATAGACGTCAGCATCAGATGATTGAACTCCTGATATCAACAGCAGTGCTCCATCGCCATATACCTGTACAACAAATATTTATAATATTAAAAGATTTATTTTATATAATTATTTATTTTTTGTATTCTACCCTTGTCCTTTTAATTATAGCTTTGGAAAACACGTTTTAATGCAGTCAAAAACAAATTCAAAAAAATATTCAGCATTAAACTATAATATTTTTTTATTAAAGGTCTACGTCCAGTTTGCAAAGAAAAGCCTCATCCTGAGAAGATATGGCGAAAGAGACTGTATAAAATATAGGTAATGCATATGTGTATTTTAAGTAATTTAACATAAAAGTAACTCATATTTTTTTCCTTCATTAATAGCTAAGTTTTTTAGACATCATTACTAACAATAACAATAATTTACATTACTAACAATAATTAGAAAAACAACAAATTATATATTTCTCTTCAATTTACAATAAAAGTTAAACACCTTTACAACTTACTCTGAATGCTACATATTGATTCGTTCCGAATCTTTCCCAAGAAACTGTGATATCCCTGGATATAGCTTTACACAGGACTTCTACTTTTTCTCCAACCCTGTACGCTCTTCTTGGCTGATCTATAGCCACTAAAGCTAATGACTCTCGAGAACCTAAAATATTTATACACAATTAATTATATTGTAATTAATACTGTTTTAAAAAACCCAAAACACACAGACGTGACACAAAAATATTTTATCGACAATCTATATGCATCTAAATAACTACATAAGAATAATATATAAATTATTGAACATGCAGAAGCCGAGGTTGTTAGTACATACTGAACGTTAAATAACATTTATGAAATCTAAATATTAAACTACGAATGAAGAAACTTATCGCTACATAAATATAGGTACTATTTTAAAATAATCTATTTTAGTCCTTTACCAAAAGTATTATTGACAATATCAATTATCACCTAAAGTGTAATGGAAATTAAAAAATCAGATAGTAATATAGGCACTACACTTTTAAACATAATATTTCTGGTTTACTCATCTTTGTATAAATATTTTTATAATAATATAAATTTTATCATAAGTATAATGCATATTAAAACACTACATCATCGGCTATACATATAATACAACAGTAACTCAGCGAAATCTGTACATGAAATATTTTTAAAAACAATGAAAATATATTAAAGTAATATATATACACAAATAGACCCCAAAACAACAGAAAGCCTACAGAAAAGTCTGCAATAGTATATGTCTATCTCCTAAAATACATTCGCAATACCATATCTATATATCTACACATATAATAAAACAATAACCTAGTGAAATCGAATTGCACGTTCCACACGAAAGGTACAGAACCGATTTTAACTAAATTTTGTGCAATGAAAATTTATTACTCGGGTCTGCATTAAGGATACCTAACACTTTCATTCCCATGAGAAAACACGATAACTGGTTCTATCGAGTCGTCCTTATATTTTTATGGCTAACGCTGGCTACCACATCAAAGCAATGTACTAAACAATTGTAGATCTTGAAAAGGTCTACAAAAAATTCCCCAATAGTATGTCTATCTCCTGAGGTACACTTATTTTTATTATAATCTGTACCGGATTTAACCATCCCTGGGCATAGTAAAAAATGCCGCCCTATTATCGAAATTTTGCATAAAATGTTGAAAGTTTAATTTTTTGAAAAATGCCAAGAAATAATTTACAAATGAGATATATTTTTCAAAAACTGTACGTAATAATTATATTTTTTTATTTTTTATTTTTTGTTAAATAAAAAAAGGCTTTTCGATAATGCGAAGAAAAATTTTGCCCGCCCTCCGAATTTTGCCGCCCCTAAAAATTTGCAGCCCTGGGTACTAGCCCCGAGTGCCCCTAGTGTAAATCCAGCGCTGATTATAATATATTAAAGGCAATGTCGCGACTGACTGTCTTATGAACGTCCAGCCCAAACCGATGATGATAGACCAGCACCACAAAAAACAGCTTTATATATTCATATTTCAAACTAATATTAAATGCGAAAGTGACTCTGTCTGTCTGTCTGTCTGTCTATTACCTTTTCACGCTAAATCCTCTGAACCGATTAATATGCTTGGTATGGAGATAGTTTGAGACCCTGGGAAGGAAACAGGGTATTTTACCCCGAAAATATATCTTAAGAGGTTTAAAAAGGGAATTGGAAGTTTGAATGGGGAATCAATCATTTCTTAAGTAAGGGATATATATTTTTTTAATTTTTTAAAATACTTACCTACTTTTCTACACCTATGTAAGTACCATTGAACATATATACAGTCTATTCTATACTAACCGTTAAAAGTTAGTTGAAGATAAATTAAAACATAGACAAAATAATGAATAAATTTATATGAGAAAATTTCTACCATTTTTAAAAAAGAACACGCCCACATGATATTCTCTATAGTAGTAATGAACGAATATTTAGAACGAATTCTTAAAACTGTCAAATAGTCATTAACGCTCTCAAGATTTATCTTGTCTACCCAAAGAGAAAACCTGCCACCTTTATACTACATATAGTTATCGTATCATAAATGTTGGTACATAATATAATATAACACCACATAATATAATATAACATAAGAATTTATATTAAGTATACAAATATATTTATAAAATCGACCATCTTAGACTAATTAATTTTCTAGAATCAATATCGCTAGTAGAAACATATGTATATGGGAACGATCTATGTGACGTGGCTAGACTACGACGTAACGCTTGTATAGTTTTCATACATTTTAGTTTTTGAACGAGTTCAAAAAAGAGGAGTGGCAACTTTTTTAATGATTAAGATGTACCTCAATGGTAAAAGAATGAATGACTCTAAATGTGAAATTAATCTAAAGAAATTTTGAAGTCGTTAAAAGGTAAGTTATCTATTAGCGATAACGATAATAGAAAGACGTTTAATCTAACCCCGTTAGCCCGTAGACAACACAAAACGTCACACAACCCCTTACACCCGTGCCAAATTACCGGGTAAAATTTTATTTGCATCCGATTGCATTATACAATTAACTTCATCACTTGCGTCGTAACAATCATCGACTCCGTCGCATAAAAAATCCTCAGCAACACAATCTTTGCCATCGTGACAGTTGAACTGGTTATCCAAGCATTTATTACCTTCATGTAAAATAAAAAAAAACCTATAATTTTTATTTTAATATTTAATGCACAATTGTATAGTAAATATACATTTAGATATAAAATTATAAAAAAAGGAAAAAGCTGAAAAAAGAGAGCACTGACACCCGCTAAGCATGCTTATAATAAAAATTACAGTTTATATAAATATTTACTGGTACACCCTTGGATTTCGAAATTATTTATCAAGACACACACACACACACACATATATATATATATATATATATATATGTATGTATATTTATCAACTCAATTATGCTATAGTAAATTATAATTTTAATTTAATATATATTAGCAAGTCGCGATCCGCCTAGAATCTATTTAATTAAGTCTTATCATGAACGCTTCTCTTAGGTTTGTGTAAATAAAAACTTTGAGGCAAACAATAACCAATTTATATAGTTTAACAAAAAATCGTTAATAGTTTCAATATTTTGTCGTTTGTCTTAAAATTTCTAAGACTACATTGTTACTTTTAAGCAGTTTAAAATTATAAAACTATTTTTTAGATATAAAATGGTCAAAGCAAACGCTTATTTGATAAATTTTTATTAACGATAGTACTTGTTACATTTTTATTATAAATGTTATTTTAGTCCAAAAAAATCTAATTCACCGTTATATTATATTTACATATCATATGAATATACGATATATTTAATAATGTTATATAATTCGACCCATTCTAAGAACGTAGTTAAATATAAACATGTATCAAAATTGTTTTTTTTTTCGTGTATTAAAATGACGTTTTTATAAGGAATCTAGTGATCCTTTTTTTTTTATGAATATTTTGTGAGTTACAAACAAGTTGCCAAGAATATCATTGTAATAGAATATATTTGTAATGAAATATTCTAGTTTATTTTTATTTAATTCTATAATTAATTAAAAGACCCTTTAACAATTAATGTAAAGGTCATTTATGAAAGTTAATTTCATTATAATATTCATTCATTCTACGTGACATTATAGAAGTAATATGTGATCAACTGGCATGCTTTGAAGCCATTAATAAAATAATTGAATTAAATTCAATACATTTAGTTGTCAAGTCAAAAAGAAAAGTGCCATTTTTAGTAACAATTAAGTATATGATGTAATTACCTGTAGACAGATTACATTAACGTATTGTCTACTAAAGTCTAATAGTTTTAAGATGGCTCATTTCTTTTTATAATAAAGACATTTTTGTTGATTGATTTCTGTTCTTTTTTTTGTAAATGTTATACATCTAAAATTCAAATTCCAACTTAAAGCATTCGAAGCGTCGGGAGCCAAAAATCAAAATTAATCCGCGAAAAAACCCAAAAGATGATTTTATTTAAAATGTCAAATATTCGCGTAAATCTAAAAAAGAAAAGTGCTGTTTTACATAAAACAGTGTTATATGTGATGATAGGACAACTTATTTTCAAAAATACTTGGAATAAATTAATAATATTTACTTAAAATTTGAGTTTAATATGTATATTGATCATAAGCCAAGTTTGAAAAATATATTTTAATATAATTTGAAAAATTGTTGACAAATGTGTCCAAAACTTTGGAGGGCTCTCCTGAATACCTGTTAAATTGTAAATGTAATGTTGTATGTTGTATTGTTGTTGTAATTGTAATTGTATTGTGATTGTTTGTATTTACATATGTTCTTCGAATTGGTCGAATTGTGAATCTTCGTTTATTTTTATTTGAATTATTTCTATTTTATTTAGATGTCACCTGGTATCAATAAATTAAATATGTTTTTATAATGAATGTATGTATGTATGAAATTTTTTGTTAATAAGTATTCAAAATTCAAAACTTTTTTTGTGAAAAGAAAAGAAACAATTAGCATTGGTACATAATATATCAGTTAATAGTCAATGATACCAGTAAAAAAAATACATTTAATTCATTTATAAAACACAGAACGAAAAGGAAAAGGCTGAAGAGATTGAGAGCACCGACACCGGCTAAGCATGCTGGGATCAAAAACTATGGCTTTAAAGCAAAGGGGGAATGTTTATCATCCGACCAACTGACCCTCGATGTGGAGATCGATGTAATTAGCAGACTGCCTTCCGTAAGAGTCGGTAATGACACAGACGTAGCGGCCACTGTCGGTCGGTTGGGCGAGGCGGATGAATAGAGACCCGTCTCTCTTCTGGTCCACGGACCTCGGAAGTGATCTTCCATCCTTGGTCCAGGTGATCTTCTGCCGCGGCAACGTGGCGTTACAGCTAAGATGAACAGCCGACCCAGCGTGCGCCCACTGCTGGTTATCGTTAGACTCCGCGCGATCCGTATCTTCTATGAATGACATGCAATTTGTACCTCTCAAACTGTTAAACATTCCATCTCGTATCTGTTAGCATCACATGCAACCATACCTCGTAATAGAGTAAATGTTTCATGTCGCACGTACTGAGAAGACCCAGCTGGGCAAATTATATGTACTCAAAATATATTGTGTAATGTACAGTGAAATTAAGCTTTCATTGAATTTATGTGCTGTTATAATCGTATATTCTACGTGCTTGTTTTGTGATAATCTATTACGTGATCAAGCAATTAATTTATAATATTTAGAGGCCTTACCGTTTACGATGACTTCGGCGACGGCAGTTGCATTCGCGACTCTATTCATAGCGAAACATTCATATTTCCCAGCGTCTTCGACTTCTATTTGACGGAATATTAGAGCGGATCCTCGTCTCTCCACTCGACTGTTGTAGAAAATATATTATATTAGTGATGTTATTTTATTAAAAAGAGTAGAAATTAGATATTTTCAATTATTTAACAAAAAATTACCAACTAAAGATGTTACTAAGCAAAAAAAATATGTTTTTAACGAACAATACTCGTAAGGACGAGAGCGAGATTTACACATTTGTCCAATCGACATAAAATCAAAACTACAAAAAAAAAATGAAAATCTTCTACTTAATATTTATAATGTCTAACAATAATTACCTAGAGAAGGTATTAATTGGTTTCCATGTTACACTAAGGATGTCATCGCCTTCGACTATACACTCCACAGTCGGCGACTGGCCAGGGTGTACAGTTTGCGTTGGCGGACGCAGGGTGATGCGAGGTGGCGCCAATACTTCTAAGACGGTCTGAGCTGATTGCTGAACCTCATTAGTTTGTAGGTTCACTAATGTGCATTCATAAACGCCGGAATCGCTCTTTGAAGTCTAAAATAAAATTGAATAATTTTTATATCTTATACTTTAAATTTATTAACTAGCCTAAGTCTAACAATACTAATTTTAGTACATACGAATATTATGGTAGTAAGCATTGACATCCGCTACAAAAAAATCTAAAAGGATGGTTTAAATTGTACACACTTAAAATATATTTAAGGGATATATAGAATGTGATAAAAGTATAAGTTCTGAAAAAATAGCTTAAATTTATTATTTTGCAAATCTCCTTATAACGCAGAAATATGACTATATGTATTTAATAAGACGAAGTGACATTATACTTACATTATAAATGATTAGTTCGTTGCCATTTTGTACAGCATTGTTTTGTAGATCCTGGTTAGGTCCCCGAGTCCAAATAATTCGGAATTCTTCAGAGGCATTACAACTGTAAGGAATTATATACAATATACACAAAAAATTAAAAATAAAACTTATTTAAAAAATAATACCTAATCAATTTTTCAATATATCATATTATATATTATCTATATTTCCATTATATCATATATATAAAATAGCAGTGAGAGATCATTACTTTCTCAATATTTTGTATTCAGCCCTTCTTAACGTCCCACTGCTGGGCACGGGCTTCTCTTCAGTACGAGGGGATTCAGGCCGTAGTCCACCACGCTGGCCAAGTGCGGGTTGGCGGACTTCACATGTCTTTTTAAAACTTGCTAGGTTTTCTCAGTCATGCAGGTTTCCTCATGATATTTTTCTTCACCGTTAAGACAAGTGGTAATCATGTTGGAAATGATTCGTACATGAAAATATCAGAGGTGCGAGACCCGGGATTTGAACTCGCTTCACTCGGTTTCCCAAGCGAGCGCGTTACCACTGGGCTACCACTGCCTATATATTTTCAATAGTTACCACACTTAATAAATCAAATGAACAATGTAAAATATCTGCCCAAAATATTTTTAATATTGAATACAGTAAAGAAAATAAAAAATAAAAATAAAATCTTTACAACTTACGTGATTCGGCTCTGCTGTCCTTCGATTGCAAGCATGCTACTAGGATATTCTGGTGGACTTGGATCGTAAGGGCCGTCACCACTGCCATCTGTTTATAAACAATGACAGTAAACTTGTGTTTTGATAAAAAAAACAAACCAAAATAATAAAGAAATATAATGAACAAAGAAAATATTATAAAAATATAAAAAAAAATGTGTGTGTGTGCAATTCACACATGGTAAAAGTGAAACTTCCAGAAAAGTAACCTACGAGAGAATGAGGTGAATATAGAGTATCAGGAGTAGGATAATTATAAGATTTATTGTTTTATAATATTTTTTACCAAGTTTAAAAGTTATTTTACATTTTATTTGACATAAATATACATTATATATTATTTAGTAATTAATATTATAATTTTTTACTCTCTGTATAATGTATTCTATCTCAAATAATTAAATAAGGCATATTGAACATAGTGCAATCACATATTTATAGAATATCATATGATGATGTTCTCCTGGCCGATTCCGGCCATGGCGGCCAATCTCATTGAGACTAACCAACTGCGCAGGAGATATTATAGTGCACAAGTGTACGCGCAGACACAAGTGCACTCTCTATTCCTGTCACTCTCATACTCCGGTGGGACAACTACTCGACACGACCGGTGAGAGTTAAGGCCCAGGACCGACGGCTTTACGTGCTCTCCGAGGCACGGGGTGAAACACCGCCAACTTCCCAACTCCGGGCTGTTACTGAGGTTTACTGTATAGAAAGACTCAATAACTAAAAATGGCCCGACCCGGGACTCGAACCCAGGACCTCCGGGTGTGCAGCCGTACATGCTAGCCACTACACCACCGAGGCAGTTTAGAATAGTAGAATATCATATACGGAAAGAATATAATATTATATATTTGTTAGACGATAACAACGGTTACCATGGCAATATGGCAATGTATTCTATCTCATTCTCTCGCCGGCTTAATTCTATATATTTATGTGTTTTACTCTTTATAATGTCGAATTTTTGTTTCATCGATTTTCAAATCACAACGCTTCTAAAGAAGTTTCACTTTAAAAAACCTGACTGCACAAAAGCTAACAAAAAAATAAAAACAAATTCACGACGGCAAAAAAGCAGTAGCAAAGTAAGTATACTAATAAAATATTAGCTTAAGCCGTTCAAGTTAGTTTGATGCCAATTTTTATATGAATACTGACAAACTAAAATTCGCTTTTATTAGTAACACTAAAAGTCAGGCTCTAAAATCTAATTCTAATGTATTGGGTTGGTAAAATTAAATAAAATATGCCAAAACTCAAAGTTTCTAGTATAAGCCATTGAAAAGTTCCACTTATCCACCTTTTGGTCTCAAAATCAGATCAGGTCGACGATACCGATACATTGCACTATCAACGAAAATTGAAACACGTGTACACACTTGTTTCAAGTCAATATGACAATTAGAAGTAGGTTAAATTTATTATATTAAAGCTATTTATTAAAGCTATATATTTATTAAAGCTATTTTTCCACCCTTAGGGGTGGTATATTTTATTCAAATTTAAATGGGACTAAACTGAAAGTATACACTTTCAAACAAAACAAATTTTGTCCAAATCAGTTAATAAATGACGGAGTTCTGAGGTAATAAACATAAAAATATATATATTTGAATTGAGAACCTCCTCCTTTTTAAAGTCGGTTTAAAAATAAATACCCGGGAAAGCGCCATCACCTCCTTCGACACGAATGACGAACTGCTCTTCACTGGTACCAGCAGGAGAGGTGGCAGTGCAAGTGTAGGCTCCGTCGTCGCTTGCGCTCGTGATGATCAGTGTAGCAGATCGGAGTGAAGGCGGCACCCGTAGATACCGGTCAGTGCTCGCTATAACAATATAATAGTATATCATACTATTGATTGAAATAATGGACTCTAGCTTATAAGAAGCTTTTATAATTATTTTTTTAATAATAAAGTTATAAATATCAGAACTTGTATTAATTGAATACTAGCGGCTCACCCTCGCTTCGCTCGGGTTAAGAAAAACACTAATAGGGATCTATTAGTTCCCACGGGAACCGTTCATTTTTCCCGGGATGAAAAGTAACCTGTTCTTTGACCGGCAATATGAGGTATCAGAATGTTAAATTTTACTAAATTAGGTGCATAAGTTGTTGTGTACTAAGCTGTATAAGATACTATAGTTTTTTAACTATCCCACGGGAACTCTTTAATTTTCTGGGATAAAAAGTATCTAAGATGTTGACTGGGGATATAAGGTACCACCATGCAAAATTTCATTTAAATCGGTCCAATAGGTTCGGAGATTAGCCCGTACAAACAGACAAACAGACAGAGAAACAAAAAATTTGAAAAAAATCTGGATTTGTTCTATTTGTCTTTTTACATCCCCCTGACTCGGATTTTAGCATTTTTTTGCTATGTACAGGCATTCGACCCCTATTATTTTATTATAGTATAGATAGATGTTATTATATCATACTTTTAATAAAAACAATTGACAATTTTCGATCAACCAACATTAAATAACTCCAATCAAGTCGAAAACGTTTATATTATCTTAAATATAAATAAACTAGGTAAATCAAAATAAATTGTTATATGTAGGTATTTCAAATAATATCTGAACTGTACCATTAACAAATTTTTAGTTTTCTTAGGAACTTGGCATCATTTTACAGTGATAATTATAGATATGAAACAGGTATAACTTACATTTGATAGATACTTCAGGTTCAGGATAACCATCGGCGCGACATGTAACTTGAACACGGTCTCCACGTATAACTTGTATATATTGGTTTGGTGAGATTGTAATTACTGGTGGGGATCTAACTTTAATGATTGTACTGGCGCTGACTGATCCAGCATCATTAGTTGCGGTACAGGTGTATTCTCCTTCATCATTCACTTCGACGGTTTGGAAACTAAAAATTTAATTCGTTGTAATTAGATGAACAATTCTTGTATACATGTATATAAATTTAGACTGCGATATTCGCCCGATTTACGAGTCTACGGGAAGCTTTCCCGTAGCTGACCCGTGGATTTGTTACCTACTGAATTTTGGAAATACATTTTTCTTACCTTGCTACCACTATGTCTACACTAAAAATGGAAAAATAAAAACTTAAAAAATACCGACTTCAAAAGAATTTACTAAAAAGTTAAAAATACTTGATTATAGTTTTCATTTACTATAGATACCTAATCACATATTTTTTTCATTTTTTATTCATTTTTTAATTACTTTTTAGTGCCTGTAAGTCAGTATTAATTTTTTTTGGTTTTTAGTGTTTTTTTGAAGTGGGTTTTTATTTATTTTTTTAGTTTTTTAAATTTATTTAGTTTTTTAAAGTGTACCTATAGGTATAAGTGTCGTTTACGAAAAAACGCAATTTGTACGTCTTTTCAGATAAACGCCGAGCAAAGCTCAATATCATATTGATAGTATTTTTTTTGAAATTTTAATAATGCTTGCCAATGTTATACCTCAATCTATTATTCTGCAGTATCTGCACATGTTGGGAGAAAGGCCTGCCGCCATTCCTGTCCCATGTGACAGCAGGCTGCGGGATTCCGCCCTCGACTATGCAGTGGAGCTCGTATTGTGTGCCAAGTGTCACCCACTTCTCACCTTGAGGGTAAATCTGTACTCGGGGTGCTTCACGGCCTGAAGATAGTTTCGTATTTATAAGCATATCTATACATATATAAAACAGTAACTCAGCGATATCTGTACATGATACATTTTTTAAAAACAATGATATAACCTATTAAGTACACAATACAGACCCAAAATTATAAGGGATTGAAAAAGGGGGTGGGAGATTGAATGGAAAATCTATCAAAACAAATTTCTCAACGAAGAGGCATATATTTTTTATTTTTTATAATACTTACCTACTGTACTTATAAAAGTACTGTACTTATAAAAGTTATACTGTACTTATTAAAGTGTATATACAGAAAAACTAAATGAACCAACACAATAATAAAACTTTCAGATTAATTTAAAAGTTGATCTGGAACGAGACTACAAAGACTGAATAATAAAACTAACATGTCTGCAGAAGCTCAACCAAAAAAGTTGATTGCATTCAGTGTAGTATTTGTCTTTCATCCGTCACGAGTGTTTCATGTATATTCTTTTATGAAATCTAAAGCGCGTCTATCCAATCTATTTTTGGTCAAATTCGCAGGAAAAGGAAGAAAGTTTTTATGTATTATGTTCAAGCTAATACAATAAGATAGACGGAACGTAAACGTGAAGATAGGGGTTGAAGCATGGAATACCAATTATTATTGTAGTTAAAGTATATAACTTGTCCCACCGTTGCGGTAGCAAATGCAATTTGGTAAATATATATCTTGATCTGAATATTTCAAATTCAAAAATCAACTAACTAATAAGAGATTACATAAATTGCTATCTAATTGCAATCGCAGAAGCAATACGTAATGAGGCATGATGCTTTTGTATACCCACATTATTGTAACCGATAAATTTATTTTATATAGTTCTACATTTTTGTGTACCGCCTGTATGCTAACCTGTATACTTTTAAGATGTAACTTCTTTTCTCAAATACTTAAGTGAATTGTATTCTTTCTCGAGTAATAAATTCTTAAACCGTATATAAATAGATAAAGCAATTATTCTGTCTTTCATTGTAAACCAATTTCTCATCAAATTGACTCATTAAAAAGTATCACAAATAAGTAGTAATAAAATATTGGTAATAATTAATTTAATTTATTTTCTTTCGGACGTCGATAGTTCAGTTTGGCTTCATTTGTTGTTGTTTACGCTCTATCTTTGTTATTTTTTTAGTCAGAAGTATTTATCACATATTATTTGGTAAATTCCTAACATAACTTATCATTTTCATAATATTATCGCATTGTAATATTATAAGTATCATAGAAATAAATTCTTTGCTGTTTTAATAGGTTTAATGTTATTTATTTACATAATATAGGTACTTTATGTAGATTTATTGATAACAGTATATATATAAAAGCTTTCACCAATTTCACTCATCTAGAATTATAACAAACGTGTTTTATTAACCTATCTTGTTAAATTCCGAATAAAATTTCAGGTTAAAGATTAAGTTTATATTATCCTCAATAATTTTATTTTTGCAAAAGTGTGTTTAGCCTTCTTTTACGCCGCAACGGTTTGATGGGATTTTTGTAGAGATTATTTGTATATTGATGAATTAGTATCTATACATTCTTTAAACAAAAAATGTGTTAAAGTTAAAGATAAGTCTATTGAAATGTCTTTCGTGATGCCAGAGCTCACTATTTAAATGAGAACAAAAGAAAAGTTAAAGAGCTAAAAAATAGCAATGTATAGACAAGCACATACAAGTATTATTATAAATGTGAAAATAATTTGTTTGTCCTTTACGATGCGACGGATTAAAGTGATCTTTTGTGTGGAGATAGTTGGAGGGCTGGAGAGATTATCTCATTCTCACTGGAAAATACGATATACTTAATACAGCCCACAACAATTCATCATACCTAAGTATTTATTCCATACTAAATCTTAAAACGTACCTAGGGACGAACCCGAGCGAAGCGAGGGTGAGTCGGCTAGTTTTAATATAAATATTTCATCTACATATACCTACCATGTTTCTAACCGTGGAGAGCCATTTTATTGCGGGCAACAATTATTGTATTTTTTTTAAATATAATAATTAATAAACATATTACTTAAAATATTTTATGCATTATATCTATTTGTAATCTTATATAATTTTAATACTCTCAAACTTACGTTCGATTCCAACATAGACGAATTGGCTGACAACCGTTCTTCCATAGATGGTACCTTCGCACAAATAATATCCAGCGTCACTGTCTTGGGCATTGTTGATGACCAACGTGTTTTCCCTCTGACTGGTACCTGGTCCGAATGCTTCTTGATACTGCATCCAATAAGAAAAGGTTAGCAAATACATTATTAATTATTCAAAATTTAAAACAATGGTAGGATAATTATAGCGATATACATACCTTCGTCCATTTGATGAGTGGCAATGGATATCCTTGAGGATTGCAGTCAACTGTACCACTTCCACCTGTAGGTATTGTTATTTGATCAGCGGAAACAGTAATGTTGGTCGTTTCTCCTGGCGATGGAGTATTAAGAGAGATCACAGTTATGACAGTCATTTCTGGTCTCATGTCATAGTTCGGTGGCGTTTGACACATATATACTCCTTGGTTTTCTGGCACTGCATATTCAATATAAAGCACGCCATTTTCAGAGCGTACATTTGACAGGAATTGTGTACCATCTTCCCTGTAATCGAAATAGTCAATGTAACAAATTTCTATATTATTTCCTAATTTCAATATTACGTAAATCTAGGGCATTAAAACAGGCATTTTGTTATTATTAGTTATATTATTACCTGACCCAATCAATGGATCCAGCTGGTATATTAGCGGTTCCAGTACAAACGACTCGAATGTTTTGTCCCTCGTTGACGGTGGGTGATGCAGAAGATACTGTAAGTCTTTGCCTCGGGATTTTGGACGGTCTTGGACGGACAGTTACAATAGCTGTACGATCAGTTGAACCAGCGGAATTTGATGCAATACATCTAAAATAAAAAACTAATATATACAAATCTATATTTTTATCAAGAGGTGAAATTTCATCTTTATTTTTGATTTTTGTACCTGTATTCACCGGAGTCATCGACGCTGGCATTGTCAATAATTAAAAGTGCATCATAAGTGTCTGACGATCGTGGCAATGGTCTATTAGAAGCTCTCTGCCAAGTTATTCTTGGAGCAGGGTTGCCTGTGGTGGCACAAGTCAATTCTATTCTGTCGCCTTCATAGTACTCCTTCACAGACGGACTTATCGCTACGGTCGGTATTGTCATTTCATTTACTGAAATAAATCAATTTATATTATTTTCATATTTGTTCCAATTTTAAAGTCAAATGACCCTACATTTCTTGATTTATTACTAACTACGCCTCACCTTTTGCGTAAAATACCCAATCCGGTACAACTATTCCAATGTAAACAAGAAGTATTGTCATTTTAATAAGTTTAAACATAATATTAATAATTATTTTTCATTTAATTCAGCTTATGTTGTCTACCTTAATTTAATATATATGAGTAATTACATATATTTATATTGAATATTATTTATTAGAAATATAAGAAACTCATACCTGGTACTTTTAGAGTAGCGATAGCTTGTGCCGTTGATATTCCATCACTAGTTTCACAAATATATTTTCCGCTGTCAGACACTTGCAAATTCGTAATAAGCAGCAAACCTCTTCTCCGATCTACTTGACTTCTGCCTTGGGGAAGGTAGCCGTCGATCTTGTACCAGTTTACTGGTAAACGAGTTGGTGTCATAGGACTTTGGGCTTCACATGTGAAGTTTACAGTACTTCCTACCTTTTGGATTTTAATAGTCGGGCTTACAATTTTCACTACAACTGTACTTTGCGGCGGTGGCTCTGGACGCATTGTAGTGGTATCTAATGTAACATTACCTAATAAAAACAATAAGTTCAATGTTATATAAGTATTTCAAGAACTTACAATATTTACGGATAAAGCAATAAACATATTTGTAGGCCTTTGAGTCGGCGCACACTACAGTATGTTACGACATGTGAAACGAATATTGAGTTATTCAACATTTAATTTGAACGCCACAAAAACAATAACAAAGCAGCTTTCTCCCTAAGAAATGGTCTTCTGTACCTTCCAACATCGGCAACAAAATCACAAAGATGATATTTTTAAAGCATGATGTTTAGCCGACACACGGAAGAGGACATAATGATACTTAATTTCTTTGGTGAAAGCTACCTTTTTCTGGTAAAGTAGTAGACAAAATCCCTAAAGTGAATCCGTTTGCTGTAACTGTGCGACATTCGTAAATTTTGTATTGGTGCGCCTTATACCATAAGATATGCCATCGACTTTCTCCCCGCCACCCGTCTGAATGATGTTCTGATTCATTAAACAATTTTGCAGGCAGGACTTCAATTCCATCGGCGTAAAATTTAATGCTTAATGGCTCAGGAGCTCGATATTTGCACGTAAATGTTACTCGGACTACATATGAACTCGCGTAGTTGTCGTGTACAGTGGGAAGCAGTTCCATTATTAGGCCTAATGATATTTGTATAAAATTAATTGATGTATTTTTAATTAATTTGTTGGTTAATTATAAAATTTAAAAAATCATAAATTTCCATTTCATAATAAAATAGTAGATACATTTTTAAATATATACACATACATTTAAAAAAAAGGTTATTTTATCAAAATCATAATTTTCTCAACATGATCTTACCAAAGGTAGTGCAATCATGTCCAGCGTACGGTGGGCGACAGTTACAAACAACTTCACCATAGCTTCCGAGTTGGCAGTCATATCCATTGCAATTGCATCGTCTGCAGGATCCTGATTGATCCTTATAATACCCTGTAGTACATGTCTCGCAACTTGTGCCTGAGTAGCCCTCAGGGCACATGCAAATCTGCAAAAGTAAACATATAGATATATGTATAAAATATATACGACAATGTCGCGACTCATTGACTCATCAATGCCCAGCCCAAACTACTGTTGATAGAAGTTGGAAAGGAGAGGATATTGATTTTGTAGGTGTCATTGAATGACGGATTTTTCGAAATTCTTTTCCTAAGGGGGTAAAATAAAAGATGAAAGTTTGAAACTCTGTTACTTTTCATGTGAAATGCACGAAAATTATTATTTAAAAAGAAAAAAAGCACTACGTAATCACTACATACATAGTTTCACTAGAATAGAGTTAAAAAATACATTTTCAGATAAAAATATGTCATATTGATTTAATTTATTGATTCTTACCTCTACACCATTGGCCGCGGGTAAAGCACTGTTGTAGCTTTCACCAGCTGTGTCCATGGATACATCAGCGATCGCAGTCGAGATTGCATTGGGTGAAAGGGTAGCCCGAACTAATATTCTCCTTAGATTTTTTAGTACTGACATGAAGTTTTCACGGCTTGCCGCATTAGGTGAATTTAATATGTGCCAGTTAGCCTCTCGTAATGGAACTTGATAGCTCTATAAAAAAACGTAACAAAATTATATAAATTAATAAAAAAAATCATTACTTAATATGAGATAGTAATACTCAGATTTATACATATAATACAATTGTAACTTAGTCGACTCTGTACATTAAATATTTTTTGGAAAATCTAATTGAAATAGTCATTATTATCGATACAGAGGCTGTCTGTGACCGCATCACGGGAAACCACTGGACAGATTTTGATTAAATTTGATAAATGATGAAAAAACAAATAAATATTTCGGTGTAGGAATACGTGTAAATATATATGTTTGTATATGTGTAAAAATATGCTTATTTTTGTGTAATTATAATATTTATAGATATATTTTAATAGTTTATAATATTTAATTATGTACTGCTTCGATCAACAATTCTTCTAGATATCGTATCACATACAAAATCAAAGCTAAATACTGTCCGCGCCAATATGTACTTATACGGCTACATATTTTGTATACTAACGAACCAAGACAAAGTCTTATAATAGTTTTATTTTCAACCTAATCAACACCATAGCATCTTGGAATAAAGTCACTAATCTTCAAATTATCATCATACACTTACGATCATTTCGTAAGTTTAATAATATTTATTGTAAAATTAACCTTATTTAAAAAAACACAAAGCATTTTTTCTCGTTGTTGCTTTATGAGATAAATCGTTATGTTTTGTTTCTGTTCGCTTTTTAGAATTTCTTAGCACACTTAAAATTGTTCAGAATTTCATTTTTATATTATTTCGTACGTTAAATCTATAAAATATTGACATACATGTACTTAACGAAAATAAGACACTGCGTCCGAAAAATATCTTCTTCGCGCATTATTTTTGCAACTTTTAAATACACATTGCGGCTTGTTTACGCTTGTAGTGTTTCAATAGAACTATTCGAAATATACGCTCATTTTGCTCACTTAGCTTATATTTACCGAGACGGATTTCTTACGCCGACACGATGTCTAGTAGTATTGTTGATCGAAGATGTACTGTATCTACACCGCACTAAATTAACTTATTTTCGCACTTGTGAACGGTTTTTGGAAGAAATCTCTTAAACAGATAAGTTGTCCTTTATCGACATTCTGTAACTTTATATATTATAGTAAATAAATATATTTTATGATAAATAAATAAATAAAATAAACAATAAAAATATTAAAATATCAACTAACTAAAGCTTCGCCAGCTCTTATACGTGATGGGTTGCTCCAGAAGATAGAAAGTCCATCTCCAATGAGGACAATGTCTATGCCAGGAGTAGATTCTTCTGGATTACCACCAGCATCGAATTTCTGTGTTAGTGATAACGTACCGCCATATGAGAGAACTCGATTACCTATTAAAAATTAAGAAAAAATGACATTTTTCATCAATCTATCACCATACTTTCATAAATTTTCGCGAATATTTGCCGTTTTAAATGAAACTATCATTTCGGTTTTTTCGCGGATTTATTTTGATTTTTGGTTCCCAACGTTTCGAATGTTTTAAAGCAATCATAGTCACCGGAGAAACATCCCTCTCCAAGATGCAGGGGGTATACAAAATTGATTGTGATTATGGGCTCTTCTACATCGGGCAAACAAAAAGATCCATTGGAACTCGGGTCAAAGAACACATAGCTGATGTGAAGCACCGACGCAATACAACATCTGCAGTCTGTAAACATAGCCAGAATCGCCCAAGCCACTACATACATTTGCTATGATAATCCACAAACACTCGCGAAAGAGAACCGTTATCGCCCCAGAATGATTCGCAAAGCTATTGAAATAAAAAAATTCCAAACTTCAATAGGGAAGATGCCTGGGTACTACCATCATATTGGAATCCTGTAATAAACGTAATAAAATCTAACAACAAAAACAAACAACAAACCATTAGATGTAGTTAGTTCATACTGTGTGAATCGCAATAATAACACTAATTCTGATTAATATTTTTTGTCTGTAAAGGTTGCTAAAGTGTTGCTTAATATTTTAACTTTAAATAATAGCAATCTAAATTAATATTTTAACTTCTATTAAATTACATATAAAACCATAATATTGCTTAAATAAATAATTAATATTTTTTAAATTTTTAATAATCTTTATGGTTATATATAATAATATACACACTAAATTGTATTAGTAATTACTAAAATTTAAAAAATATTTGAATATTTATAATAATAACAGCTAAAATTAAATAAATAATATTGCTATATTTTATTATAATATTTATTAAAAATTTTAAAATGTTTAAATCTTTAGAACTAAATCAACAAATATTGTAAGGCACTTTGGTGCCATTTTTGAATTTTTTGAGATCATTTTTGTAAAATAGTGAGTATGCACTCTCTGCAACATGTATATAATGCCTTCGAGACGTCTATAACCTTAGTCTCTCCCGTGACCGTGATTGCTGTAAAGCATTCGCAACGTCGAGAACCAACAATTAAAATAAATCTGCGAAAAAATTCGAAAAGATAGTTTTATTTAAAATTTATCACCCAATGATGCCAACAATACAATTTATACAAAGGCATGAGATCTCATGAAGCAATTTCAATATTATGTGCAGTGTTGTTGTTCTATAAAATTGTATGAAATATTCAAAAGTTTAAAAAATTTTCTTCCAATCTTCAAATATATAAAATATATCTCGTGTAATTGTTGCCATGATAACTGTTGTTATTGTCTGACAAATATACAATATTATATTCTTTCCGTATATGATTATTTAATTATTGATTTGTTTTAATTTAATTGCGATATTTGCCAAAAAAGTTTCACTTTTACCGTGAGTGAATTGCATACACATACACTTTTAAATTTTTTGATAGATTGAACGCGGACGAAGCCGCTGGTTCTGCTAGTGTACTTATAAAGAAATAAAGTAATATCACATTTTGAATTTTACTAACTACTTAAATATGAAATATGTACCTGGAAAGACTGGCAAAGACCAGTACAAGTCACTGATCTGTGGTGAAGAGAATATGTACATGAGTTCGCTCTGCTTAGGTGATGGTAAGAACTGGTCGTTGATAACTTGCTCTGCATTTAAGTCCATTAGAGTGTAGCCACCGTAGTCATCGCCTAAGATGGGTGCTGGCAGCGGAATCCTTGAGTAGTGATTGGCCTAGAGACAAACAGTGTTGTAGCATCGCAATATTTTATCAGTATTACGCCTATTTAAAAAATATATAATCTCAACGGCTAATATTTGAGTGTAACGATAGTCATAGTTATATTGTTAAGGTAATTACTTATGTATACTACTTACTTCGCTACAATCGCTCGTAACACCAGAACAGTAGCAGGATAGACAGCCTAATGGGTTGTTTCCATCTAGTCCAAATGTTCCAGGACGGCATCGGTCACAGGCTTGTCCTTCGACGTTTTGCTTGCAATAACATTGTCCACTTGTGCACGGCCATGCTTCTCCACGTGGATCACAACTAGAGTTAATGAAACTTATTAGAAAGTCTAAAGCATACTTTATACAACCTAAGACAGTTGTCAACACAACAATTAACGACAAGGACAGTAAATTGAAAATATCCGTGTGTAAGAGAGGAACAAAAATATTTTCCATAAAGGAATTGAAATTACTAGAAAAGTTTCGAAATTTCGAATGCTACAATTTTCTTTGTTTATGCATATAAAAAGGGTGGTAGTGTATCGAGAGATCAGTTGAATTTCGGAGCTAAGAGAAGACAGAAGAAATATGAAAAATTGAATAAATGAAGACAAGAGGAGAAAGTCATCATGAAAGTGTAACTAGTGCCAGTGGTAAAAAGTAGTGCTCAGAGACTGAATTAAGCCAGCACTGTGTTTGTACTGCGTGTGTACTTAAGAACCGCCATAAGTAACTATTAGGAATCCAAAATAATAAAACCTCTACAGTGCAGAAGACACCTCTATAATGCAGAAGACGTATTTTTATTTCCAAACCCAGAACTCAAAGAACGTAACAATATTAATAGAAGAAGACCATATACCCCATGATATGTACCGTAAATGATATAAACGCATTTTTGTAATGTCCTAGTAAATATTAATCAATAATGCAAAAAAAAATTAAGCCACGTCAAGACCCTTTAGTATGATATATTAGGTACTTTGAGATTTCATTTTAACATATATAACACATTAACCAGAATATTGAACGCGTATCATTATATTATTTAAAAAATACTTCAGGTATATTTATATTTTTTCAAACACTAAAAGGGATAAGAAACTCACTTGCATGGTGGTGCCGGAGTGCTACTTAATACGCAGTTGTCGTTTTGGTCCCTTTCATAACCCTCTTTGCAGGTTTCACAATTTGGTCCATCGGTATTGTCAGCACAGTTCTGGAATCATAAATTAATATTAATTGTAAATTTCAAACTTCTACTTAATTAAGAATTCATATATTTATTCATAAACATTCTTACGTAACAGACACCAGTTTCCGGATGACACATTCTAGAATGTCCATTACATTCGCAAGGTCCACAAAGCTCCAAATAAAGACCACTTGAGCTCCTGAAAAATCAAATATGAAGTAGGTTGTTATAAATACACATAGTTAAGATATAATATTCAGGCAAACTGTAATCATTCTCCTTTTTTATGCTCAGTAAATTATACTATAGTTTAGACGACAAACTCATTTATTTAATAAGTTCAATGAATTAAATGTCCTGAAGTGCTTACCTAGTATAACCTGGTGCACAATCTTCACAGGACGTTCCGATATAGCCCACAGGACATACACACTGTTCCACATGTTGTGCAAGGGGCCCATCGCCGTCTGGGGCAGCAGTTTCTATACTAGCGCTTACTATTGACGCTACATCAGTGTTATATGAGTACGTTGCCTTTATAAGAATAGCCTTCACATCAGCCAGAGCAAGGAGGAAATGTTCGCGGGAAACTTCTTTACCATTGGGCCTGAAAGTTAAATGAATCTTATAAAGAGGTTCCTTAAATAAATCATTATTAATATAAAAATTATAGCAATTAACAATTTTAAATCAAATTAATTTTACTAAAACTTACCTCTGCCATCCTTTCTCTAGGAACTGTACACTGGAATTTAGGTAACCATCACTCGCTGGCAAGACGTTGCCGAAGTAGTGGAGCGTTAAACTATTATTCTGCAATTATATACAGTAAAATTAATATAAAGATGTATATTAATTATTTTTGGCTCATTTTTATGTTTTGTCATGTATACGAATATTACAAGAAATGTAAAATATTAAGAAACAAAAAAACCACCCGTAAGGGATTCATATGATATAAAAGTTGTATTTTTTTTTAATAGAAATGTAATTATCGTATGATAGATGCTTTGGCAGAATTTATTTTTTTTGTTTGGTTTATTTTAATCTTTCAAAATATCTCTATCACATTTAAACTAATCTAACTTCAGTGGCTATTGTGTCTATATTTTCACAATAAAAAATAACGAACATTACATTATATTTTTAATTAATATTAATGTATATTTATTAAGAAAATTAGAATTTAATCAATTTTAGAGTATTAAATATAACTCACACTAATAAGTTGCACATCAGGGGCCGTGTTTTTCAAACTACCGTAAGTTGGTACGTTGTGAAGTTCATATCGCAGATATCCACCGTACGATGTAACCTTATCGCCAGCGAAACTGTAACCACAAATATATATATATATATATATATAATACTTAGAAAAAACGTATCTTATTTTAGATAATATTTTTCATAGATTTATATTTTATTTATCTATTTGATCACATGTAATATATAAAACAGACCTAGTAAAAATTTTACTTTTTGATTTACTTTTAAGTACATAAATTATTAAAAGTAAAGTCACATTCTAGTAGTATTTATTAATAATACTTATCAATAGTACTTATTTGTACGTTTCCGATGAAGTTTTGTATAAAACTAGTTAAATTATTATAAAAGGATACAGTAGGAAATATACAAATCTATACATATAATAAAATTCTAACTAAGTCAAATCTGTACATTAAATGTTTTTTCGAAAATGTTATTGAAATAGACATTATTATCGATACAGAGCCCGAATCTATAGAATTTTTGTCTGTCTGTCTTTCTGTTACCGCATCACAGAAAAACTACTGGACGGATTTTGATGAAAGTTGGCATGGTCATAGCTGATTATCCGGGTCAACATATAGGATACTTTTTACCGCAGAAAAATATTTCATTTCTGAGAAAAAATACATAAACTGGTTAGAATAAAAAAACTATGATAATATAGATTTTAGCAAGTTAACTTACTAAATATGTCAAAAAATATTAAAAATAGCTAATCTTGAAAAAGTATATTAATAGCACTATTTTATTCATAAAAAAGTGATTTTAATGAATATTTATTTTTGTATTATTTAGATATTTGTCAATAGATGTCGCCATGTGTCTTTAAAGTACGTACTTTTAATTCCAAAAAATTGAAATTATCCGCGGCCCCGCCCGTGTTTAAATTATAAAAAAACAATATTTTTGGCTTTATAAATTAATTACATCTATAGATACATTAAAATTTAATAAAGCACTATCTGTGCTTTAAATATTTTTTGATATTTTTTTATTGAAATACACCTTATTATTGCTAACATAGGCCGAACCTATAGTTTTAAGAAGTTTTGTCTGTCTGTCGGTCTGTCTGTGACCGCATCACAGAAAAATCACTGGAGGGAGTTTGAAAAAATTTGGTATGGTAATAGCTGGTTATCCGGGTCAACTAATATACTAATACGAGTATACTAATATTAGTATACTCGTATAAAGCCTAAGAATTTGGTTTTGGTCATATGAACGCGGGCGGAGCCGCGGGCAATGCTAGTTTGAAATTATAAAATTTAAAAAAAATGTAAAAATAGTGAACTAATTACTTTATAGGAAGACTCCAGTACAGAATAGCAGGTTGGGAGCGTTCGTAGTTGTAAAGACCGATTTCTCCCCTAACTAGGTCCGGTCGTAGATCAGTTTCTACGGGTGCATTATATCCCACGGCACTCGGTGATATGGAATCATTAAGTGTCGTTGGAGCACTCTTGTACACCTTCACTTGTTCTACAATCTGCGGCACGTTAAAGCGAACGCTAGTCGTTTTACGGCGAAGTTGACTGATCATACATGGTCTCTCGAGTCCAGAACAGAAACATTGAGCGCAGCCGTGTCTGAAATAAAAAATAGATATGAATTGTGTAAGTTAAATTTAAAAAGAAATTTTTAATAGCTACCTATATAATAGATTTATGTAATGGTATTAATTGATACAAATATAAATAATGAACGTATTCCAAATTAATAATATGAGATTGCAATATCTACTTTACATAATATACTATAAATACGACTGGTTTATGTATACTGTGTATAAACATCATTGTGTAATACAATTCAATGGATTTGAGTGAAATTCGGAATGTACTAGCGTATACCCAAAATACATTGCTGCTATCGATATGTGTGTCTACAATGTAAGCGAAAATATACAAATTAGCTTAATACCTAAAATCGTTAGACAGGAAGTAGGAACCATTTTTACATTGGTCGCAATAACGTCCTTGGACATTCTCTTTGCAGACACACTCGTCAGGTAAACGGACATGACTAGTTCCATTCGGGTTACAGTTGTCAGGGGGCCTAGGTTGGCAAGAATCGCCGGCAATCAACGGATTGCCAACGTAATTTGGTGCACAGTAACTGCAGTCTGGTCCCTCGTAACTGTAAATAATTAGTTATACATTATTAAGCCATACTTTTAAATGAAAGAAAAATATTTTTATACAATTTTAAATGCAATCTATTAAATAATAGCAAAATATGTGTCGGGACCATTCGATACGTAATGAGAACTAATTTAAATTGTGCGATACTTCAAAATACTAGGTTATTTTGAAATCTTTAATAGTTATATATCTTTATATAAGTCTCTACTTACATACGAATTTAAGACTTCCACACTCGTAACTTTAGTAAATATCATAGGAAACTTGGTTCCATAATAATTAGAAAAGTAAATATATGTATCAAAAAAAGGCCTACCCAGGATGACATTCGCAGATAACATCGCCTCTAGGTCCCAAAGAGCAACCACTGGCAAACTGGTTGCCACGGTTTGTCAACGGACATGGGCAAGGCTTGCAGGCACCACCGCTGCTCGGGTCGCCATATGTAAGGGGTGGACAAGGAGCTTTCGGTGCACACGTACCGTTCCATGGTCCAGAGTTTTGACGCTCGTAACCATCAGCACATTTCTAGTTTGACAGATATATTTATTATACATTTTTATTTAATATTCGGTTTATCTAGAATTATTTATTTACAATATTATAAAATACTAAACTCGTAAAACCATCGGCTTGGCTAGTGCTAAAACGACAAAAAAACTCTAAAAAGGTAGGTTTCATACAAACGTAGTAAAAAGTAGCCCAAGTCACTCTCCAGCATTCTAACTCTCTCCACACAAAAAATTACGCCAATCCGTCACTCTATTTTGACGTGATAGAAGGACAAACACACTTTCACATTTATAATATTAAGTATGGATATACTCGTATCATTATTTCATGTGAACATATTAATTGAAAGTAAAAATTATTCAAGATTGTAGTATTTTATAAAATAAAAATTTGTATCCTAGAAATCGGATTTATCGTGAATTTTCAATTTCTTTTATTATTTTAAATTTTTAAATATAAATAAAATCTGGCTATAAATTAATTTATTGAAACCATCTTTATTCTTCATTTTTTCTTTACCTCACAAGATCGGCCTTTGTAGCCTTCAGGACAAGAGCACTCCTCTACCAAGCTCGCTGATCCCAAGCCCACATTGTTAGATTGCGCAGATTCCATGTTGAATTCAGTGATATTGACTCCGGCGTTGTTAAAGTCAGCACGAAGCAAAATTGTTTCGACCTCATCAAGCCTATTTAGCATATAATATATTTAAAATCACTTATATAATGTTAAAATATATACAAAAATATATGTATATTATAATAATATAAACGTTATTATTTGTATATCCAGATATACTTTCAAATTTTTATTTAGAATATTTTATAACAATGATCGTTTAGAAACTTGTATTAAAATACCAAGACAATTAAGCTGTTAATAATTTTCAGTATTGTATTATTTGCAAAGGAAAGTGAAAAAGTGAAGAAATTTTAACACCTACATAAAAAAAATACTTACGCCATCATAATGTCTTCGCGGGAAGCTGGCATAAGGCCTCTAGGTGTTGGTTTCTGCCAGTCGCCGGGAGTAAGTCGAGCGTCAACATAAGGTTCACGGTACCGGTCTTCACGACTCTTGTAGACAAGAGTTTGGTAAGTACCCTAAAAATATAATAATATATTTGGTAAAAAACAGTTGACAGAGTATTTTAAATAAAAAAAAACGTGTGTGTACTTATGTAAGCACATAAGAAGTTATACTTCTTTGGCGTAACATAACAAAAATAGCTAAAGATTTCATCCCGTATGTCCCAACTCTCCGTTTGTAAAAGCTAACTTCATTATGTAGCTTTTTGGCTGTCATTATAAAAATGTTACTCTCATAATTTTTTCCAAACGTGCCAAAAGAAGTATAACTTCAAAAATAGATATTTAGAGAAAAAACCCGAAAATACAGTGCATAATCACTTTAAAATTATCCTTTATTTGTAAGTGAACTAAGCGGGATAATACCAACGCATCAAAGATAATAGTAATATGCTATCACTATTATCATCTTAACTTATCGTTACAATTTTAGAGGTGAATCAAACTTTCATATTTCTAAGATTTATATTCAATAAACTAAGACAAAAAAGAAAGTGGGACTTTTGGATAACTAAAACGTCTTACATTGCATTTCTTTATATAAATATAAATATCTCTTCTTGTTTTGTTCTCTATCATTATAGTATTTCATACAAAATAATTATATAACATTTATAATATAACCCAGTTCATATTCAATATAAGAACATTTAGCTAATCATATTAATCGTTATAAAGATTTACCTTAATTATAATATCAGGAATATTTTCATCAGATCTATAACGTTGAGGAATGTGTGGAGACAGGCGGTATTTGATGTGGCCACCATAAGATGTGAGTTGGTTGCCATTGTATGTTTCTGGCAGAGTTAAATATGGATGTGCTCTACTCCTAGACCAGGCGGTGAATTCTGCTAGTTTAGTTACCTGCAAATCAATATAGGACTTTAAACATATTAATTTATTAATTTATGCTCCACAAAGATATACAAATAAAGATCGAATGATAAGTATACAAAACATGACTAATCTCATCATCAAAGATTTTTTCTGGTTATCCTCGATTGAGGGAAAATATAATTTAGTGACGAGGTGTAGTAACAAATTAAATATACACCTGTACTACACAATAAAAACTATTGAATAAAATTACTTAAATACATTAATTAAGTTTTTACTTAATCTGCAATGCTATAATTCTAATAACATGGTAAAACGAAATGATTTAATTTTATACGAAAAAATAATTTTCTAACCGTAGCGCCATTTCTGAGGGGCTGGTAGAAGTACTGTTCTACTTGTTGCTTGTCCACCTGAACGTCTCCATTTGGGCTCTGGTTTACACCTACAAGCCTGGTGCCTCCTTCACCGAGTGGGGTGGGCATGTTGAAGATAAAAAGATCCGCACTCTGACATTGGGTCGACTTTCCGAAACAGAAGCAACGGATGCATTCGTTCTGTGATCTTGCCTCACTGAAAAGAATTTTATTAATACTTTAATGAAATATTCAAATACTAGTGACTTACCCTCGCTTAGCTCGGGTGCATCCCTAGGTGCGTTTTAAATATACATATATGAATAGTTATTGAGAGTGTACCTTAGGAGAACGACTTATGCTATTGCATATTTTTTCTAGTCCTTACGAAGACCTACAATTTTCTAGTACATTATTTTGATGTATCTCTTAAGTTTTAGCCAGCGTTAGACATGTATTAAGAAAGACTCGATAGAACCAGTTATTGTGTTTTCCCGTGGAAACCCAAGATTTTCTTGTAGTAAAGATAAATGTTGACCCTAGGAATAAGTTATCACTACACAAAATTTAGTTAAAATCGGTGCAGTACTTTTTGCGTGAAACGCGCACATCGATTTCGATAAGTTACTGTTTTATTATATGTATAGATTATATCAACAACTGCCTCGGTGGTATAGTAGCTAGCATGTACGGCTGCACACCCGTAGGTCCTGGGTTCGAGTCCCGGGTCGGGCCAAGTTTAGTTATTGAGTCTTTCTGTATAGCAAGCCTCAGATACAGCCCGGAGTTGGGAAGTTGGCGGTATTTCACCCCCGTGCCTCGGAGAGCACGTAAAGCCGTCGGTCCTGCGCTTTAACTCTCACTGGTCGTGTCGAGTGGTCGTCCCACCAGAGTATGAGTGTGATAGTAACAGAGAGTGCACTTGTGTCTGCGCGTACACTTTTGCACTATAATATCTCCTGCGCAGTTGGCTAGTCTCCATGAGATTGGCCACCGTGGCCAGAATCGGTCAGGAGAACATCATTAGAATATATCATGAATAAATAAATAAACTACTAGCGCCTGCGGTACATCCCTAGGTACGATTTTGTTCACAATTTCATGGGTTTTATTTTTTTGCGCGGAACCCTGTTTCTTTTTCTAAAATAAAAATAGCCCAAGTTACTCCTTATAACATCATCTATCTGCCAGTGAAAGTCACGTCAGAACGAACAGACAGTCAGATAAAAATTGTGATTTTCATTTTAGAACCGCATACATACATTGTACTTTCATGTGCATTTAGTAAAAAGCTATTATTTTGATATTACAAGTCTAGACACAAGTAGGTATAGATAGTAAGGAAATCATCTGTTCACTTTGCTTATCTCACAAGGTACTCGAACTGTGAGTATAAAGAGGTTGAAGATTTCTATTATCACTGACCGCCAAAAAATGTATTAATTATTTTTATGTAGTTTAGTGCTTTGTATATTACCTGTTGAAGTAACCACCGGGACACACTCCACCAGTCCTATTGACGTAGACAATAGCGTCATGATTGGCGAACGTAGTTCCTTTATTGTTGATAGCTTCACAAGAATATGCGCCACTATGTTCCATCTGTAAATCAATATTTAATAAGTATATGTATTCAGCCCTTTTTAACGTCCCACTGCTGGGCACGGACCTCCCTTCAATACGAGGGGGATCAGGCCATAGTCCACCACGCTGGCCAAGTGCGGGTAGGCGGACTTCACATGTCTTTCGAAAACTTGCTAAGTTCTCTCAGACATGCAGGTTTCCTCACGATGTTTTCCTTCACCGTAAGGCAAGTGGTAATCATGTTAGAAATGATTCGCACATGAAAATATCAGAGGTGCGAGACCCGGGATTTGAACCCGCTTCACTCGGTTTCCCAAGCGAGAGCGTTACCACTGGGCTACCACTGCCGTTAAATAAAATAAGTATATGATTTCTATCAAATGTTACTTGCACTGTCTTTGATGAGATAGATGGAATATTAGTTATTCTGAAGTTATTATTATGGAAAAAAAGATCTTTACTATTATATCAAGATGAGAAGGCCGTAAAATTTTACCTGCATGTTATAGCAAGTCAATGTGCCAATACCATTAATGCTAGTGGCTTTACAGTTTTCAGGGACATTTCCCCAGTTAAGACGCCAGGATATTAATGGCACAGGAACGCCCACCGCTTCACATACTAAGGTCAGAGTTTCACCCGGGTTAAGCTTGACGTTAGATGGGGACGGTGACCTTGTCACGTGCACCGGTGCTGTAAGTAAATAAATAAATGCATCGACTATTTTTTTTTTCATTTTTAACATTACTAAAAATTATTAGGTATATTCTTGCTCGGTAATATAATATATTAAAGGCAAATTGAAATTAAATAGGTATTTATCAAGAATACAAATCACAGTTTTTTATGCGCAATATTTTATATCTGTTATAATGCGTTATTATAAAATTACATACCGCATCCAATTTCATCAGATTTGTCCAAACAATCACTCTGCCCATCGCAATGGAAGCTTTTTGGTACACATTGGTCGTTGCTTGCGCACGCAAATTCTGTAGGCCGGCACTGATCTGATGGGGATTCGACGCAGTTCTGTTCATCAGAACCATCTCCGCAATCATCATCAGAATCGCAAAGCCAAGTTTTCAACACACATTTGCGATTTGCGCACAGGAATTGATTTGGCTCGCACTTTCCATTTTGATCTACAATACAAATTGAGTAAAAAATAATCAATTTTATATTTATTTCCACTCCTATTTTTTTCATATCAGATAGATACTGTTACTATCAATAATATACGTACGGCAAGATTCTTCGTCAGATCTGTCGGAACAATCATCTCTACCATCACAAACTGCTGATTTAGGAATACATTGTCCGTTTCCGCAGGTGGCTTGATGGGATCCACATACAGTGAATGGCGGATGTGTTACTTCTGTAAAAATGAAAATTATTTTAAGGATATTATAAAAAAAAGTTTCCAATAAAAAATGTAAATAAAAAACAAAAGCACTTTGAAACTTGAACTCGAACAATTAAAAAATCGCTTCATTGTTGGCGAAGATATCGACTGATACACAAATGACGCAAATTGAGCATCACCTCTTTTTTAGTCAGTTAAGAATATTACAAAAAATCGTATCAATATTGTTATAAGTTTAAGACTTACCAGGACGCTCTACTGTCAGATATACTCTCACTTCAGATCCAGCAGCGCCTAAGTACCGTGGCGCTTGACATATGTAGGTGCCGCTGTCAGCTGGCTGTAAGATTTTGTTTTTACTTTAATATAATGCAAATATCGATACCTATGCATTGTATACGACACCTACTAATACTAGGTGTACAGTTTTTTTTAATTTGGATAAAAATTTGTTTGAACTTTTGAAGAAATTTAAAGTTTACTATTTTGTCAAAATTCATGAGCGAAAATTAGTAATCATGATGCATTAATAGTCTACAGTCCCCAACGGATTTTTTCAGTGATTAATAACAAGCTGAAACTTTGTGAGTAGCTTCATTTTGGAGAGACGCTCAACTATTCTTTCTACGTGAATTTGATAATGCTAGATACAATTGTGTTTTCATACGGAACATGTGAAAACGGTGATGTCTAAAATTTATTACTGACAGTTTGTTTTACGATTTAATCTTGAGATATCCAACATTAAACAATAAAAAAATGTTGTCCTATAAAACAGATGGTTTGAATCAAATCGTCCCCCTCTCCGAACTTGTAAAAATAAAAATGTCATAAAATTTATTAATAACCGGCTGATTTTCATAGTATTTATTGGTAAAAATATGCATACCTAATTGAATAATCAAATCGTCCTACAAGTAATTCCTAAGTCCTACGCTCAGATTTTGCCACTCCCACAGTGATACTATTTCATTAATGACTTTGGGCAAAGGCAGTACATGAAAGGTAAGTAAGTTTATTTTCAATAAAAAAAAAACATTTTCCTACACGATAGTGGGTAGGAAGCGCTAAACCTATAAAAATACTTAAAATAACTGGTTTAAGTAAAATCGTGCCAAAACTAGACAATAATTTTAATTAATAAATTACATAATACTTTTTATACTTTTGAGGAAATAAAGTAATGAAGTGTTGTTTAGAAAATCACCAAGAGATGTCACTACGTTTTTTGTGAAAAGAGCCCCTTCTATTAGTAATTACGTCTTCACTAATATATACCACTTTATTTTTAGGACAATTGTAATAAATAGTCTTTCTCATTTTATTTTTGAAAGAAAAATACAATAATTTGCATGTTACACTTGTTTGCACTTGTGAGTTACTATCATTACAGCATCATAACGAATTAGACAAGATATCAGATGATGTTAATACAATTGTTGAAGGTTATATATACATACTAGCAGAACCCGCGGCTTCGCTCGTGCTAAAACTACAAAAAAATCTCAAAAAAACATAGTTTGATACTAAATTTCTTCCTTTATTTTACCCTCTTATAGGATGAATTTCGAAAAATGCTAAAACACGTATTTATTTAATTTTACTAAAGAGCCTAATAAGAAGCCTAAGAAGAACTTATTACCAAGTTTCAAGTAATTTTGATCCATTTTTTTTTATTATATTGTATTATAAAGTGTTTTCCCGTGGGAATTAGGTAAATTCCTGCGATAAGAAGTAGTCTATGTCACTCTTCAGCCCTCCAAATATCTCGCACAAAAAATCACGGCAATCCGTCACTCCGTTTCGACGTGAAAGAAGGACAAACAAACAAACAAATAAACAAACAAACACTCTTTCACATTTATAATATTAGATATATGTTGGGACATTAACACATAAAGCTACGAGGCTTGTGTTATGGATACCAGATAGTTGATACACTACACATATATAACTTTAAATAAATACATGTTATATATATAAACACCCATGACTGGACACACATTCATGCTCATCACACAAATTAATGCCCTCAGCGGGACTTGAACCCGCGACCGCTGGCATAGCAAGTAGGGTCACTACAAACTGAGCCAGACGTGTCATCAATAAAAAATATTGTGACTAAATACGATTCGATGATATAACGATTTAATTCGTCCCTTGTCAGCTTTGCAGTAATATACTTATGACTCCAAGTCTCAACAACGTAGATTGCCTTCTTTGAAGTCAACATTTATGTGATACGAAACGTGGTAGGTAACAATTGGTCTATTATCGCTTCACATTAGATATAGGGGCCTTTATTTAAATAGAAATCTTACCGTCACTTTGCTCATTTCTAAGCGTCCTCTAACATCAGTGTAGCCTGACTTGATGGGTCTACCACCCTCTCGGATCCACTTTACTTGAGCTCGCAGGGGTCCTTCGTCTCGACAAGTAAACACCACATCACCGCCTAAAATTATATCCGCGTGAGAATAGCAGCAATTGATTTTAGCTTAATACCCCAAAAGCCATGCTTGGAGGCTTGTTGATTGCAAAACGCACTTAAAAAATGATTAGAACATAAAAATAAATCTGAAAAACTTATTAAAAACGTTTTATTTTTAATTAAAACCACGTACAAAATATAGTAATTAAATTGTAATTTTTAAATTATATTAAAATTCATGCGATAAATTAATCACCCTTGATGATATAACATTTTTTTTTTGAGAGTATTTTATAGAGTCAAAGTTTTAATTTGGAAAATTCATATACTTTACTCGTATTTTTAATAAATACGAGAGTAAAATATATAAATAAACTGTATTACAATTTTAAAATATATTTGTTTAATAATTCTAAAATTTATATAAAATACATGCGATGGATTACCCTCGAGGTTATGTCTTCTTTTTTAAAAATAGGAAAAACAATGTGTTTTAAAATTAATATTCATTTATCGATACTAATATATAATAAAAATATTTTTTTTATAAAACTCATGCGATGCGAGGAATTGTCTTTTTTTTTATAAAGATAATATGTAGCCAGTCCAAATGTCAACCTAGACTGCAGGGTAAATACATACATATCTTTAAAGTTAAAAGCGCCTGGAAGTTTTTATCCAACTGTCATACATTACAAAATAAAAATATTGGTTATAATTTCATCATTAAAAGTGATCTGTGAAGCGTCATTAATCAAATATTCTTTTAATAATATATGTTATTCTGCTTTTAAAACATTACTGAAATGTAAAATATAATAATTAATGTTTAATTTCCTCTTTATTAGTAGCCCAAAACAGATTAATATTGAATATATAATAAAATAAAATCTATACGTAAGATATATAATAATGTACATGACTTGTTCTTCTTCTCTATAAATTAAACTTTGTACATATATTATTATTAATATAATCAAAAAATACGCCATTTATAAGAGTAAATATAATATACTTATCTAAGAATATTTATTATGAAAGCTTATATAATTAGATGATAACCACGCAAAAACCATTAATTGTTATTTTTAAACCCTTAGTGCACCCTAATATAGATACACTGACTCACCGTTATGAACTGTTCCACCACCATGAAAGAAACATAGAAAATTATTTTTTTTTCATAATAATTATATTTTACAAATAATAGAGTAAATATATAATAACTACTTTCTCACCATCACCGAGTAGTAAAATTGTATTAAATACATGTACATATATATATGTACGTAATTTTAGGGGTCTGACTCATTTAAGCGGTTATTTGACAACTATTCACGTTTCCACATAAAATATAATTTTAATGGCAACTAAACGCGTATTAACTTAACCTTTCAATTAACCTATTAGTTTCAAGCTCACCTGTCCTCCAGGCCTTTTGTAGGATGGTAGAAATATGTATAAAATCATTACTAAACAAAACTTTAAATTCAAATAAATACAAAACTAGTAATTATTATTAAAGATTGTCATGTAATGCAGCTTGAAAAACAAGAGAAAATATGAATTATTTATCAGGAATCTATAATTACAAAAATGTAATAAATACATTAGACTGAAAACTATACCCTATAATTTTAACACATTTTTTTACTATGTATCTGTGTACACAAAATCTTGAGATCAAGAATGGTCCAGATTGGAGCAACAATTTACAGACAAATATTATAATCCTAGACACAGACAGACGTAAACTGTCAAATATTTATTAACGATATAGAATATCAAGTATTTACTCACCATTACGAACTGTTTGTTCACTCGGGTAGGTTTTGAGATTCAAAGCGATGGGACCTGGAACTATAACATACATTTTTAATTATTCGTCATATTTTTTCGTTATCTTTTTTATATGGGGCATGAGTTTGACTACCAGCGAGACTATGTAAGAAGTAAGTCACAGATTTAATTCTATATAGGAATTAGGCAATAAAATGTCTTATCATATCAATCTTAATAGTACCTATGCCATTTTAATACATCGTTTATGTAAAATGAAATCGTTTATGCGAAATATTTACGCAGGCAGAAATATGAGTGTCCTGCCTACTTCCCATAGTTCTACTATTACTTTAAAGTTTACTAGCTATGACATATTCTATAAAGAAATATTTTACGTTAATATTTATTGCTAGAATTTTTAAAATATGCTTACTAAATAAATATTTAAAAAAAACTATGCACTGTCTGAATCACTTGCAAGTTGCAAGTATTAATTATATATATATATATATATATATATATATATATATATATATATATATATATATATGATTCTAATAGTACATAATGTAAATATATTAATGTAAATTTTATCGACATATTTATAATATTTATTTATCTATTATACGTATAATTCAATATATGTCTGAATCTTCTTCATACGGACTGTTGAACAGCATTTCTCTTTTCAGCTTAAGATCATTCCGTTAATAACATGTCAGGCATTTAGTCCACTAATAATATTCATGACGAAGGTAATGATAAAGCTTAGTAAGTAATGAAATTGTTATAACAACTTAAAAATATAACATTATAGATATTAGAATATAAATTACATTGCTTGAGTTTCTTCTTACTAATAGCAGTTAGTAACATATAGATCTACATTAAGTATTATTTTTTTAGTTTCTAATTTTTAACATTGGCAAACTTTTTCCATTTTTTATTGAAAATGGTGATTTTTTTTAATAAAAATAATAATATGAATGGACTTGAGGCAATGGCTTAATTGTTGTGTTAGTACTAGTATTCAATATTCTAAACATTAATGAATTTATTATTTTAAAATTATAAATAGACAGAGTTAGAATCACAAGCGCTATCCTATCGGAAACTTCATCGTCAGTCAAAGCGTTGTCGCTGCTATTACCTACATCCCTGGTTGCGAACGAAAAACCTACAGTCACTTAAATTCAAATTGCAAATAGCAAATACTAAATCATGTAATGACATATAATGTTGTAATTAAGATATTATATGAATATAAGTACATATATACTTCGAATTAACGTGTGTAGGTTTGTCTTTCGTATATTTAAGGCTTACTGCCAGCTGGACAGTCGAATTCATCAGAGCCATCGTGCGGGCAGTCCACGTGTCCGTCGCATCGTTGATATAGCTTTATACACGGCCCATTTTCACAACGCCACTCATTTGATGTGCATCCTAATGTTGAATTTACTTTTAATACATTAATTGCTAATTAGACGCAGTACTAAAAATAATTTTATTACGACAAAGTTTTGAAATTAAAATCACTTACTGTAAGGGGGAGGTGAATATGTGGTGGTATAAGGTGGTTGGTAAGTCGTCGTCGGATACGGAGTTTGAGGGAAGGCAGTAGTGAACGGTGGGAGGCCGGGCGGACAATCACTCTCGTCGGACGCATCCGTGCAGTCAGGATATCCATTGCAGTATTCGTTATTGGCAATGCATTGCCCCGACAAACACTGCCAGTAACCATCGTCGCAAGCTAAAATAAACATAAATTGTTATTCTATCTAAAAATTAGTTAACAGCAATAGCAAATTTCAACACTTCAAAGATATATAAGAATAAGAAAACTTTTAATGTTTTAGTATAAAATAGTTCATGCTTAGCTTTACATGCAAAAGTACTGACTAAGTGTACTCTTAATTTAGTCGATTCATAATATTTTACTATTTATTCTACATCTACATAAGAAGAATATTAATGTCAACTGTATTTTGGGAGAGCTGATAACATAATTACATCTTTCTTAAAAAAATTAGCTGCTTTAAAAAGTTCATTCAGTATTAAATTAATTTCTAATCTGTAATTAAATCATATTCAATGGGTAGGTAGTATCATTTACTACACTCTAATTTTTAAGATTTTTTATCTAATATATTTAATAATTTTTATATCTTCATAATAATCATGCAAAAAGCCATTATAATAGGGGTGCGCTAACAATTGTACCTAGGTAAAAAAAAAATGTTTATATTATCTCAATCAAAATCAGTATCAAAATAGTACATAAATTAACAAAAGTATAGGGGTTCAACTTCCGGTATGGGATACCAATAAACAAATCGAACACGCATACAGCATTCCACAAGGGCGTACATTCAGTAGTCTTGTAACGAATAGTATATATGGCATGTCGGCAACTTACAACGATTTTACTATCATAAAAAGGATAAATTACGAGTAGAACTTAGAAATACATTAAAATAATTGATTTTTACACGTTTGTTATTACTTTTCTAATTAAATGATTTGCTTAAATAATTGCTTTTATAATTTTTAAATTGATCGAAATATCAAATTGCAATAGATATTGCCGAAATCGTATGCCGAATTTATAACTTTCGTTACAAGTATATTAATTAGGTGTTTGATACCAGAGGTGTAACAGTTTTGCTCATCAGAGAAGTCCGAACAGTCATATATATTGTCGCATCGTCGCAAGTGCGGGATGCAGCGTCCGTCGTAACATGTAAATTCTGATTCGTGGCACGGTGCGTTAAATGGTGATCGCGAGCCTCTCGTCATGTACCATGCTGTATAGCAACTTCATTCATTACTCATATACAAAATTTATCTTGCTAATCTTGAAACCTTATTTGGACTTAATATTTTTGCCTTGAACCGTGTAACAACTGATTGTAGAATTAATTATCTAAGTGTAACGTGAAGTGCTTGAATAAGAAGTGCAAATAATATAATTCTTACAGAGATATATAGGCGTGTTTTAATGTCCCTGTTACATCAGCATTAGGCGTGATTAGTGCAATGAGCCACGTAAAATAATATAGTAATAAGTTTATAGTGCTTTATTTTATTCTATTTTTTGTGGGCAACGTTGTTAGAAAGCATTGTGTTAATAAATAAAAATACGTTATTAAGAATTTATTTTAACTAAACAATACTTACGGCAGTTTTCTTCATCAGAGTTGTCATTACAATCGGCGTGACCGTCACAGAAGAAGTTGCTGTTGATACAGCCACCGTCTCTACATTGGAACTGATTATCATCACTACAGCCATCTAAATAAATAGAACATATTACATTTGTAAAATTGCGTTAAAACAGCGATATAAAATAAGTGGTATATACACTTTTAAAAGTCTTCTTTGTGAAATATTTTTTCTAAGTATTAAGCACTTAAACATTTTTTACTCCATTTCATTACAATAAATAGCTAGAAGCCAAATGAAGTATTGGTCATATTGTACAAAACCATTAATTTAATTTCTTATTTGCTTATTTCTTAATAATTTTAACTTACAAGGCTGTGGAATCATAGTGACATTGCAGTCGATTTCGTCGCTAAGGTCGCCGCATTCTGGAATACCATTGCAGCGTTGAACAGCATTAATACATTCGCCATTTTTACATCTACAAATAAAATAAATAATAACATACATATCTGTGTCATCATCATCGAAATAACATAAATATATTTTAAAGTATCTTTCACCAGCATTTGACTTAAAATTAACAAATTCGCAATGGAGTTTCATTCGCAAAGTTTGCATTCGCAAATGTAAAATTTGGATCCAAAAATCGCAACGCAATAGTTATAAAGTATTTACTTTTTAAATTTTTCCATAATAATATATATATTAAACCTTAATCAAGAACTACCTGAAGTCGGTAGGGGAGTTACAATCGTTGCAGTTAAACTCGTCTGAACCATCGCTGCAATCCGGCACTTGGTCGCAAATTTTGATATCCTCTAAACATCTTCCGTCACATGAGTGGTTGCAATCTATAAAAACAAACGGTGAGAACTTTTATCACCCAAAATTATAACTTGAAGTCGGACTTATTAGTAACTGTTTCTAAAGACAAAGATTTATTCCTATTTTGCCTTTAATATTTGCTTCAAGAGTAATATTATAGCATAAATGAAACTTATCATAATACAATCTAAAACTACAGCTGTATCACACATCTTATAATCTAAACTGAAGGCAAAATTGTATGGAGGTTAATGTGAACTACAAGACATGTATATATATTTCAATCAGAATGTAGATTCCATGCTAGTTTTTAAATTTCCACAAGTAGGTTGGAAATGATTGTATAGAAATACTAGTGTGCAGACAAAGCCGCTGGCAAAAGCCGTATTTCTAATAATTCTAATTAAGATACGTAATTTCGCCAAGCTGGTTGAAAATATTTCGCATTCGCTGTTATCAAAGAAAATACAGTTAGAGAGGAAAATTATGTGTGACATGTACAGTTTCATATAAATAGATCGTTTATTATCATAAGGATTCTAACCATAAGACGCCAAGATATAAAAGAAATAGAAAAGATAAAATATCGATACTTTAGCTGCAAAGTAAAATCTTAGTATGCCAGGAATATTTAAATATCAAAATTTAGTCGTATTTAGTATAATTTTCCTACATATTTCCCTATATTATACATTGTATAATGTACAATGTACATCACTCTAATTTTTAAACCTTTTAAGAAACTTAACAAGTGATATTGATAGAAATTTTAAGGTCGAATTTAAGCTATTTATTTACCATCACAGCCGTCTTCATCTTCTCCCGCATCACATTCTTGGATGCCGTCACACCTCTTAGCACAAGGCACGGTAGAGCCGGGATCACAGGTGAAAGCATCAGATGGACACGGTTGTGATCCTGAAATATTAAAATTTCGCTTAATACTAAAAACTATAATTATTTTTTTATTATCCTAAGTTATGTCTTTCTTGAGGATACACCGAAATTGTTTACCTTCGTAGAAATGAAAAATATCCAATAAAGTGTTGTGATGGTTAATACAAATTAGCTTAAGTAAGTGTTTATTTAATAAAAGGACACACTGAAGAAAATGCCTGAATAACTAGTATTAAGATTGTCTCCTTAACATTAGTGACACAAAGCACACTCGTAAGAGTGTGCTTTGTGTCAAAAAACAGTAATGTTTTTAATTGTTCCATATTCACTAAAATTCTTACCGTGGTCGAAGTTTGTGGGCAGCTTATTTAATATTAAGTATAAAAATAAAATATTACAAAAATTATAAGTAACGATTACAAAAATTAATGGTGTGATTAATTTAGTACTTTCATGACAAATTAAGTAATCGCATAGTTGAAGTTTCCGGATGCGCCCCTTAGATAAGTTGATTTCCACTTTTATAGAATTTACATATTCTGTTTATTTAATATAAGGCTTAAAAAAGTCATTTACATACTTTTCTTAGTTATCTATCATCTATGAAATTATATAAGTACTCAGGAATCCCCAAGATTTCAATTGTGTTGTAGATATCTCGAAGACGAACAAATACTTACTACAATTGGTGTCATATCCACCAAACGGCTTACACGAAATGCATCCATTACAATTTTTTGTAATGATAATGTTAAAGCCATCGTGACATATGAAGCGGTTTCTTCTACAAGGACAATTTAGCTCGTCAGAACCATCTAAGCATTCAATTGTCCCATTACACCGGGAACTCTCCGGTACACAATATCCACGTGAGCATTTAAAATAATAAGCCATGCAAGATGTGCCTGTTATAATAATACATATATGCACATAGTTATCAAGGTTAGTTACAATATACATAAATAGTTATATAATAAATAAGCGTACAGAAGAGTTAAAAATATAATAGAATTAGCAAAGAAAATAGTAATAAAATTTTGGGCTAAATGAATAGTAAATGTAGGTAAGTATTGCAAACAAAGCGTTTATTATTTTAGACATGCATTTTCTTAATTTCCCAATGTATAAAAATTTAAATTAATTAAATCCATCGTGTATAGTGTAAAATAAATTTTGAAATGATATTCTAAAGTTCATCTAAATGTGAAGTACCAGTACATAAGAACCCAGAATAAAACGGTTCCATTATTAAATATAAGCTGATAAATCCTGTACAAGTAAGAAAACAAAGAAAATGGTTGTATAAAGCAAAATAATTTTGAAAAATTCCTAGACTAAAAAAGATTCAAGTCTAATCCCCGCTGTGGCCACTTGCCACCTTTTTTTTTAAATATCCTTACTCACCACAGTTATGTTCATCTTCACCCGAGGGACAATCTGCACGTCCATTACATCGTTTTGAATGGTTAATGCAAGAACCATCATGACACTGAAACTGCTCTCTTTTACAGGGACAGTTCATTTCATCAGAACCGTCAATACATTCTCTTGTGCCATTGCATCGAGATTCCGCCGATACGCATACTCCACACGAGCATTTAAATTGATAAGCCATGCATATTGTGCCTGCCGTAATAATATTTACCATGACCAAGGTTATGTGTCTAGTTAAGTGTAAGTGAAATCTGAGATAAAATAACTTCTAGTTTCTACAATTTTATAGTATCCGACCGATTAAATTTCTTGTGCATGAAGTGATGATAGTAAGAAACGTTACAGTTTTTTTAATCAATACTTGAAACATATTATAACTAAAACAAAATTTTATGATATGTTCAAACACTTCACCTATGAGATAATCAGAGATAATACAGTGCACATTTGGACTTTACCTATGCACATATAGTTACAATAGGAAAAGTTTTTTCAGTATTTTGAAACATTAATGAAAATTGAATAGCATGATGTTTTAATGCTTCAAGGGTCAATGAATGTTATTTTAAGAAAAAATTAAAAAATTACTGTTTCAAACTTTGCAATAGGTTACCTCTATGATTTTTATAAGTGGAAACCATCAGTCGGACACTTTATTTATAATTATATTCATTTAATTTACATGATTTTTCAAGTGTTCAAGCAAATCAAATTAATTTTCAAATTATGTTAAGTATCTATTAATCTTATAATACACCAAGAATACAGTGAAGTTTGTAGAACAAAGTGAAGTTTGTAAAAAAAAATATGTGGTTTTAAAATAATAATATCTATCAAATGTATTATTGGTAAAAAAATAAATAACCCAAATGCTAATGCTTATTTTATATGCATGATATGCTCTTATAAATTTTAATTTAATACTTAACTAATCCGGTTTTCTTAAAGAAAACCCGCAAAAATTTTAACTACAAAAGTCACTGTATCTCCTCCTCGTCCTTTAGATATATTATCATCTAGTAACTACCTATTATAAATAATAGTAATATAAATTGTGCGTAGTTACAAGACTATAATATATAAGAGATTAAAATATATAAGAGATTAAAATATTAAAACATGCAAATAAGCACTTTCGAAGTGTTGTGAACTACTTGAAATAGTGCTCAGAGCATAAGGGAGGCACATTTTATGTAACCATCACCATTTACTTGAACTTGTCTACTTTAACATTTAAATACACGGAAAAAGAAGATTTTAAAAGTGATCAAACCATAAATGCAATCTCGTTCATCAGAACCATCTTGACAGTCATGCGTTCTGTCACATTTTTTGTATGCAGGAATGCAGTAACCATTGTCACACTTGAAGTCGGCGTCACCACATGCTGATCGGTAAAAGAAAATGCTGCATTCTCATCTATTCTACGCTTGATATGAGAAGACACATTAAATGTAAAGTTCGAGATGAAAGTCAAAAGATACAGAATGAAGAAATTAAAGAACAAGATGTGGATCATTTGTTTAACAACGAAACTGTAATTGAATAATAAAAGGAAACTGTGAAAGAAGAGGAAAACTGAAAAAAAAATTAGGATGGCGATGGAAGAAGATATGTATATTGCCTTTATAATAATCGACTTACGACAATTTTTCTCATCAGAATAATCCCCATGATCACAATCATAACGACGATTGCACCTCTCACTTTCAGGTATTAACTTGCCAGTTCTGCATTTAAAATACCCAGCCGCTGTAAATACATGCAAAGCTAGTTGTTAGAAAATAAAAGTAATACATAAGCTATTTTTATATTTTATATAATATTACTGTTATTTTTCACTATTCAGATCTATAAATAAAGCTCAAGGAGATATGTCGTGTATTTTACCAAACGGAATGCTTACCGATGCAGTTCCTTTCATCAGATCTATCTGTGGGGCAGTCCACACGACCATTGCAGCGCTTGCTGAGTTTTATACAATTACCATGATCGCATTGCCATTGGTCAGAGCCGCATGCTTTAAAACCACCGAGATTTGTTAGTATTAAATTGTTTAATTAGGGGGATATTTAATCCAATATATAAATATAATAACTACTTACGACATTCGATTTCATCATTACCATCGTGTGGGCAATCTTTGAAACCATCACATCGTAATAGAATAGATATGCAAGTTCCATCACCGCATTTAAATTTGCCTCTATCCTTACAGACGTGATCTCCGGACCAATAAAGCAATCGTGATACTTACCATTCCAAAAATATGATGCATGCACAAAATATGGTTTTAAATTTTTGGATTATGTACACATGCTTATTATATATAGGGTAAATTTATGAAAAGTGTAATTAGCATTAATTACGACATTACATTATTTGAAAATTTAACTAAGAATATAATAATTTATTCTTATAGTTTGCTTTTATTAACTTGTTCTATCGGCTAGCACACTTGTCATAAACAATAAGTTGAAAATTTTACCCTACATATACTATTTATTATTCATATAATTTTTGTAAAGTTCATTTGTGAAACTCACCACCACCACATCCAATTTCATCAGATCCATCTCGGCAGTTGTTTACACGGTCACATCGTTTTCGAGACTCGATACAAGAGCCATCATCTTGACACCTGAACTCGTTCGGTCTACATTCTGTAGATTTAAAATCATTAAATATTTCGTAAAGAATATCAAACATCAGTCAAATCAATACAGAATTTTTGAGTAAAAATACCAGTACAGCATAAAATACTACCCTCCCTACCCTAAGTTTAAAGTCAAAAAGAGACATTCTCCCACTAGGCAATAAAATACCTTAGTCGTTAGCGACAAAAGAGGTTGTGTGTTTTGAACTGCTACAAATATCTCTAGAAATCAAATATGGGCATAGCGCAGAGGGCATATTTTTTATCATTTTAAAACTTCATGTAAAATCAAGTTAGTTTAAGCTTAAAAAAAGTTAAAAAAACAGTTAGAAGAGACAGTAGTGATTGAACAATAGTATAATTAACTGCTTTTATTTTCGCTGCTATGCTTACAAATACTTGCGATATATTTATTGCCTATAGATTTAGTAATCCAGATAATAAAAGATATCAACAATACAGACAGACGAACAAATATTTAATTTGTTGTTTATAATATGAAGTAGCTATTACAAATAATGACCTCCCGACCGACGTCGGCCACGGCGGCCAGTCTCATTTAGACTAGCCATCTGCGCAGGAGATATTATAGTGCACAAGTGTACGCGCAGATACAAGTGCACTCTCTATTCCTGTCACTCTCAGACTCTGGTGGGACGACTACTCCACACGACCGGTGAGAGTTAAGGCGCAGGACCGACGGCTTTACGTGCTCTCCGAGGCACGGAAGTGTAACATCGCCAACTTTCCACCTCCGAGCTGTTACTGAGACTTACTAAACAGAAAGACTCAATAACTAAAGTTGGTCCGACCCGGGACTCGAACCCAGGACCTCTCGATGTGTAGCCGTACTTGCTACCCACTACACCACCGAGGCAGCTATTACAAAACCACAGCTAGTAATATTCATTTTATTTGAAACTTATATATAATGAAGCTACTAACCGCAAGACAACTCATCTTCTCCAGATGGGCAATCAACCACTCGGTCGCAGCGTCGTCCACCTTCGATGCACTTTCCATTATCGCAGCGGAAATCGTCAGCGCCACAATACTCTGTAAACAAATGCAAAAAGTTATGATATTATAAAAAATGACATCTATACTATAGTATTTCATTTACTGCGTAGTAAACGCGCTATGGGCACGCCCTCTGCTAGCCCTAGGACTTAACAGGTCCACTAGACAAGCCCTAGATGGCGTTGCATGTCGTTTGATGTTTCAATTTTTGCTATTCATAGTTTTGTTGATTCGTTTGGCAAAATGATACTTAGGCAAACAGTTCTGAAGCAACTGTGTGACTTTAAAGAGATATTTGAACAGTTAATTGGCAGTATACGCTCGTTTGCTGCTATCAAAGTGGGTTTGAACGCAAACACATGCAACGATTACAGAATTGAGAATTTAATAGTAAGTAATCATAGTAACATGATTTGTCGATTGGTTATATGTATTATATCAATACCAATTTTGATTAAAATATTTTTCTCTAACGTAGCAATATAGTGTCGATCCAAATCGTAACGTCATGTTATTGAAATTTACTACTCGCAAATGTAAGGGCTGACAAGCGAATGCGATCACGTAGCACTCATACAAACATATTTGCATAAATCGGCAATAAAATGTAAGAAAACCTCTCGTTTCACTGAGATTTTTCTGTCATTTTTTCCTCGGTATAAATATTTTTAGAAACACCTTTACATAGTTAACATTCTGAAGGCGAAGACAGGCCTACGTGTCAAACTTAGTGTTGTATTATAAATAGGGGCCAAGTATGAGATAACTTGGAAACGCTTTCTTGAAGCGTTCACGTTTTCCTAACATAATTTTAATATACTTCACTTTTGAAATTGTTGAACATATAAATTTTATATTTATTTAGATTTAAATTTCAAAATGTATGCATAAAAAAATCTTAAAAAGACAAAAACCTTAAAAAAATCTTAAAAAGAGAAAGAAATAACTGTATAAGGAAAATATTATTTTCACTTTTTACGTGATATTGGTAGTGATGAGTGACTGGTGAGTGAGTGGTGGAGAGTGTATATTATATAATAACACCATTTATTATATAAAATACACATACATACATATATATTCATTAACCTTGCATTCTCTCGCAGATTATAAAAAATGTACTATTTGAAATATATTTAAAATGTACAGGAAGCACGTATTAGTTATTGTTTTAAAATTTATGACACCTTTATGTTTACAATGTATGAAAGTAAATTTACTGTTAAAAAAGTCGACTAACTAAAGACCTAGAAAAATAAGACTAAAAGTATGCAGACACGATTGAAATATTCACATGTTAATTTAAAATATGTATTTATCCCATAAAAGCTTAATTTTATTAAGAATTAAAAAAATGTTTTATAATAACTGAATAATTTGGAAAGCACGAATTGCAATTGGCATATTTTATTGAAATTACCATTCCCGTTTAAGTCGACTTAATACAATTCTTTGACTACTGCCAGATGGCATTGGTATTCTAACAAATTCTAACAAACTACTCTAAGTACCTACACAATCATTAAAATTCATTCCTGGCCTGCGTTAAGTATCTATGACCTAAATTGTTATATGTTTGCGTCACGCTGATAAAGTTTAGATTTATTACTTAATATGTAAGTATAATCAATGCAAAATGCTTGCTGATTTGTTGTTGTTTCTTTCAAGTGGCATGTAACTTTAGAGCAATTAAATAAGTCCTTAGCATAATACTCTCATAGATATTTCGTATTTCTACCCTATTATTATCTCTTAATCGTTTATCGTTTATTATGAAGTTGAAATTTAATTCCAATATATTTTTTGACACATCTAAACAAAGCCAGGACAGTTCATTACTATTTTTGTTTAAATAGAAAACCTTAAAATAGAACTTACAATATTATATGTCACGTAATAAATACCAGAAATTAAATGCATAGTTAAAGGAAAAGCTTGTAAAAGCTTATTTACAAAAGATGTCTAATTATGAAATTGATATACTAATAAATAATGCCTGTTGATAATAGTTTAAGAAAAAACATTGTTTTGGAACTTTACTATACTATTTGAGATTTTTTCTAAGCTAAATGATGTGTATAAGAGGTAAGGAGCCCCGAAAGCTTCTAATAAATAATGTTACGTTCGTTGAACGGTGGGTGAATCCAATTTGGGGTTATACGATGCAGTCGCTCACAGGAACACGTTCTAAATTTTCTTCTAATACCCTAAAAATAATAACCATACCACATTTTCATACAAAATTCTGCAACTTTTAGGGGATTTAATAAGAATTGAATTTCTTCAATACAAATATTAATATGCAATAGGGTCATCTTGAAATTATACTTTCTTTATTGTTAGTTTACCTTAGTATTTATATTATGTATACTTTTTCCTACGTATGAATGTTACATATTATTTTGATTTTAATACGAATATTAAAATATTACATTGTTTTTAATTTGTAAGATTTCAAGCCCATGAATGTATAGGTATAAAAAATACATTTCAAGGTTACGCTAGCGTTAGAAAGAACAACTTAAAATACATAAAATGTAGAGGCGGCATTCTATGAAAATTGTTTAAAAACTTAGTTTGTCAGATATTAAAAAGTCTATAATTTTAGTTATTTCTAACGCCCAAATTTACATTTTGTATAATAATACATCTTTTTCACGATAAATTTAATTTAAACGACAAAGAAAGAAATGAAGTATTCGTATAAAATGACCCTTATTTTTGTTGCACGTCGCCTAACATTAAAACATTTTTAATGTTTATATATAATAGTTATTTTTTTCATAAAAAGTCCGAATTAGTTTGTCCGTAACACTTAACATTTTTTATTATTAAAATATATGAATGGCTTAGGAACTAAATTCATGTTGTAACATCTGTCGCTTATTATTGTATTTTAAAAATGTTTTAATATGATGTCTAGGTCCTGTCCAAAGAGTTTTTTTAAAGTTTATAATTCATTACAAAATTAGAACCGGTGACCGCCATTGAAAAAGATATCGCCAGTCAAGCATCTATCACACAGCAGGTACCGACAGTACATAAACAATTAATCAACTTAACTTTTCATAAACTGCCGCATCCAACAAAGTTGTAAATTGTTATAAATCCGAAACACTAACGTAATGGGTCCCAAACAAGGTAGAATCGACAAATAAATTAAACTGTGTTATAAGTAGTCGACCTGCACCAGGCACAGGCTTCCCCTTATTACCAAATTGTCCCCGAGGTTTTACGTCAGGCCACTTTTTTAGTCGATTTTACTGTATTAGTTTAGTGGCTTCTTTGAAATGCGACAGACAGCGCTTACTAAATTCATATTTCAAAATTATATAATCGTAAATTTATTCATATTTCATTTTGTTTCTTATCACGGAATGGAGAAAATACAACACAACCAATTTAATTTACAAAAAGTTCCCATAGGTTTATTGAAAGAAGACAACGGGGCCGTCTATTAAATCTAAACGTAATGAAATACATTATGTATGTTTATACTTTAATTACAGAAAAACACATTTAATGTTTACTTGACCAGAACTTATACTACGTGTGTCTTGAAATTCTAAATAGCATGTGAAGTAGTGATTAGGATAATGACCGAACACGGCTAAGTTAGTTTAACAAACAGTAACAACAATGGTCGATTTAAAATTACAAAGAAGCTCTAAACTGTCAAAGTGAGACGGGTCTTAATAAAACATTTGCGTATACATATTTGTATATCATTAGGAAAGGACACGACACAATAGTAATAGATGAAATATGCAAAGCGTCTATATCAGGCGGTCGCGATTTGAAACTGAAGTCATATCTACATATATAGTTCAAATTCATTATAGTATTAGTTTTTTATACGTTTTTGTTTATTTTTGATAAGTTTATGGGAAGAATTGAGAGCATAGTAATGTATTGTTTTTTTTTTCGTCTTTCACATCGAAAAATATTAGAAATATTTTTAATACCACTGCGTTTGATTTTTATTCGACAATAAAAAAATCAGTTTTATTACACTTTACAGAAAACGAAATAGTTATCATGACAAGTGAAGTATGCGTATTAACATACAATACAAAATTATTTACAAGTATTAAGTATATATGTACATAATATATATGTATCTACGAGTATATCATGCACATATACGTAGGCTCGCAATTCACTAATAAACCTCAAACGCCCTACGTACGTACCCCCCTAGGTACTTGCGTCCTTCTATCATGCTAATATCATCATCCCCCCGGTGGTTAATCTTTCGTGAACCCTAGTGGGTCGTTTGATAAGAATTAGAATGTATAAAAATGCAACCATTACCATTATAATATCAACATTAGCTACAAATTTCCTTAAATATATATGAATTTACTATATAATGTGTTGGTTAATTCAACTATATACTAGGTATATAGTTATAAAAAACTAAATGAATGCTCTTTCGATCAACTGTAGTAAAAGTAATTACTCCAAACAAATGCAACGCGAACGCGAAAGCTTTCGTCGTATCCTTTGAAAAATTCTACTCCCATTACCTTTACATTCTTTTGAGATCAGCCCGGCAGCAGTATCAAATTATTTATTGCTGTCCGGATTTCATTACATAGTAAGCAACAAGTGCAGCTAATAAAAAAGTTAAAAATAAATTAAAGCTCTTTGTTCACTTAAAGAAAGTGTCTATTTTCAAAGGTTTTCTACTTGACATATAAGACTAGAGCTAGCAATATTATCTTTCATGGAAAAGAATTTTAATATATTATGTAATAAACGATTTTAATTAAATGCATTTATGTTTGGAAACAAACAGATACCTCAAGGAGTATATAGGGTTACAATTACAGACTCTGGTCAGCAAATTGTATGTATATGCTTTGCACTACGAAACGTTTGTTCTGGATAGTGTGTGCGTTAAACCGCGGTAGCCCGCCGCCCGTAAGTAATTGGTTACATTACATTCAAAAAGTTTTTTTTCGTAAAATGTGAATAGCACATAAATTGACTTTTTAATCAATATTATTTAAATTATAGTAATTAAATAACATTATTGAAAATAGAATGCCTAATTAAAAATATATTTTTTTACAGATCAATATAGACACCAAAGCAATAGCTATTAAGATTTTTGTTTGTAAGTCTGTATGTCTGTTTGAAAAAAATATGACCAGGGTTACTTGAAATTTAATAATAATGCTCTTCAACGCAAGTTTAAGATTTTTTAAATCAGATCGTAAGAGAAAGAACGCATGCATTTGTGTTGTGTATTTGTATATTTGTTATGTAACTTTCTAGTTAGGTATTAAACTCAAAAGTTACAAACAAAGATATAATATTTATATTTAGATTATTCGAAATTCACCCATTAAGAGGACAAAAATACTTTCAGGATGGAGATAGGTTAAAAATTGCTGTTATATTAATAGCTCTGAAGCTAAATTAACGAAACATTAAAACACTTCCACAGGCTTATCCATACTAATATTATAAATGCGAAAGTAACTCTTGTCTGTCGGTCTGTCGGTCTGTCTGTCTGTTACCTTTTCAAGCTTAGTTATCGATCCGATTTAGATGTGTTATGGAGATGGTTTGAGACAAGTTGAAAAGGACATAGGATTGTTTTTATCCCGAAAATCATCCCTTAAGGAGGTGAAAAGAGGGGTTAAAGTTTGTATGGGGAATCAATCATTTCTCAAGTAACAGATATATATTTTTTACTTTTTCAAGTACTTATCGACGTCTCTATACCTATGTATATATGTACCTATATAGTATTATCCATATTTTATACTAGCGGCTTACCCTTGCTTTGGTTGGGTTCGCTTCTAGACAAACAAAAACAAATCTATCCCACGGGAACCGCACCTTTTTCCGGGATAAGAAGTAGACTATTTGTTATTCTGATATATGATCTATATTAACTTAACTTATATATATATATATATATATATATATATATATATATATATATACTGAACAGAGAAAGAATAGATATATAGATAGTTTAACAAATGTTCGACGTGTTTCTTTAATTTGGCATAACTTTTTTTATTTATGAACCGATTGACATGAAACAAACACTAAATATTAAGTGAAGCTTACCACAATATATTAGTGAAAACCACATCTAAATCGAATAAGCCGTTTCTGAGATTAGCGTGCACAAGCGCACAGACAAACAGACAAAAATATGTTGTTGGGACATTAACAAACAGCGCCATCTAGTTCCACGGTAAACTACGAGGCTTGTGTTATGGATACCAGATAGTTGATACACTACATATATAACTTTAAATATGTACATATTATTATAAATATAAACACCCACGACTGGAGTACAAACATTCGTGCTCATCACACAAATGAATGCCCTTAGCGGGACTTGAAACCGCGACCGCTGGCACAGCAAGTAGGGTCAGTACAAACTGAGCCAAACGAGTTGTCAAATTCTAACAATCATTGTTTTGGGTGCTATTTGCGTTGATAAAAGTCCAATTTAATATTTTTTCTCATATATCTTCCAAGTACAAACAGCGATTCGTTACATTTTTATTATATGTACCCATAGATGACATTTTTATTTTATTATTATAATATACTTATTAAATGTTAAAATTGTAAAGTTTTAAAAAATTTAACTATTGATCCGTACATAATACTTCTGACGTCGGTTTTATTGAAGTTCGCAGTTCTTGCTTAATTGAACGTACAGAAGGACTCTCTAGATCTTACCATGGAAAAGCCGACTTTGTACCCAACACGAAGATGCCACAAAGCATCATGAATATTAAAAAAATTATCTCACGCGATCAATTACCTCATGTCCAAGACTTAACGTTGTGGTGCGAACTTTCTTGAGGTAACCTTACACATTGTGCTAAGTAAGCATCGCGTTTCATCTTTACTACATAGTTGTAAAATTTTAATCTAGATTTTTTAATTTAAAATATTGATGACAACATTCGTTTAATACAAGCCATAACAGTCGTGTATTAATTATCGTTTTTGTGGGTGACTCGGAGCACCACAACTTGATTATCACCCGCCCTAGACCAAGCCATAGACAAAGAAAACTTTCACAGAAATGGATTTTATTATATTTTTCAGAATAAAGATATAGGTTTAAATTGTTGTAAAAGTGATGATGAAAAAGAGTTTATAAGTAACTAACGACTCACCCTCGCTTCGCTCGGGTTCGTTCCTAGGTAGGTACGTATAATCCTATCTTCTTATCAAATTTCTTCTAAGTCTGTTCAGCGTATTTTTAGTTTATCCATTATAAGCAAACTTACAAAAAAAATATTTTTGTTCTCTTTGTAATATCAGTATAGATTATAATAAAAATTAAAAAAAAAACAATGCTCTAAGTATACATATAAAACAAATGTTTAAATACGAATCTTAAATAATCAAACTAAAAATACGTAAAACAAAAAGTAAAAGTATAAATTTGTCGATTGTCATTTATTTCCTTCTGCATATATTTTGAATAAAAGTATTGAAAATTGTAATGAGTACCCTAGTAGAATTTTGTCATGTCTACGTCATTTAAGCTCAATAGCGCTGTGAAATGACCGGACAGCGTGATTAAACACGCCTCTTGGACTCTGGGCGGAGACATTTACCTACAATGAATATTAAACGTACAAATTAAACTAAATACATTTTCTCAATGCTAAAAAAATAAAATATAACCGCATGTCAAAACATTGGACATTGGTGCATTTTATTTTTTCTGATATTGGATCGTTTGTTCTCTGAGGCTAACTATGCGATGTAACGGTTTTTCAAACATGCATGCGTAATTTGTTTAGAGTAGTACATGATACTATATATAAAACTAGCAGAACCCGCGGCTACGCCCACATTTAAGCTACAATACATATAATTTTCGAGTTCAAACTGTCACCAAATCATAAAATCTTAAATATTAGCAATTATGATATTGGGAATTCTGGGTTTGAAATTTAAAAAAAGATATAACGATAAAGCTAAGGCGGGAGCTACGCTACGTTTCGTTTCCGCCTTAGCCTTCTCAGCCTACGTTATCCGAGTCAGACCTGTCACATAATCAAAAACTAAAACTTGCAAATAAATGATATTTTATTTTTATCCAGACATTCTAAATTTAGAATAAAAAAATAAATAAAAAAAAGTAGCTGGGTAAATAATTATACATTATTTATACAGTTACTGTATTAATAGCCATAACGTACAGTAACTGTATGAATAATAAATTTGTATTAATCCAGTAACTAGACTAATTATATACATTTATTAGTCCAGATAATCTCAATCAATTCAAATTGCAAATTTGTCAAAAACATTGAACTCAAGTGATTGAAAATTGAATTTGGACCAATAATTATATATTAGTCGCACAGTAACTGGATTAATATAAACTTCCTGTTTTAAATGTTTATACTAGTTAATATACTTTGTATTTTACGCTGGCTTCTTATTTAGATAAATCAATGAATAATATACATACTAGCGAATTTAAAACTTATAATAACAATTTTCTGTCACAACCTAGTGTTTCACCTATATTCCACTTTACTTCAATTTTGTTTCCTTTCACAACTTTGGCTACGAGACTATCACAAACTTTTAAGTTGCCATGATAACAACATATTATAAAGGATTTACAATTAATCGATTTGACCTTGTTTTTAGTAGTATGGCTAAAAGACAATTTATTACTGCCCAGTAGATTGTGATTATATCCTTTATGTTCAACACATGACCCACATAATAATATTAATTATTATTAAAGATGATAACAATTTTAATTTTTACTATTATTATATTGCATATTGTATTATTATTATTTATTAATTAACAGCAGGGATAACGTACTGGCTTAAGAAACCAAGTAAAGCGGGTTCAAGCCCCGGGTCTGCTATATTCTCATGTGCGAACCATTTTCAACTTGATTTCCACTTGTTTTAAAGTAAAAGGAAAACATCGTGAGGAAAATGCATGCCTCAGTGGAACCTAGTAAGTTTTCGGAAGACATGTGAAACCTCAAATCTGCCATGAACCTCACTTCTCCAGCATGGTGAACTATAACCTGATCCCCTTAGTACATTATTAAACAGGAGACCCGTGTCTAACTTTAGTAACACTTAATAATATAAGATGATTTTTTTTAATTTTATTTAAGAATATGAGAAATGGGTTCATGGAATGTACTCGTATGTAAACTCTATATTGTAGGCCACAAGTAGCCTAGTTGCTCTTATATTGCACACTTTTCTAATTTAAGTAATTGATAATTAACATAAAGTGTAAAATATATATGAATACATTATCTACAGATAATGACAATAACATATCACAGTTTAATAAACAAATAACCAATACCAGTCTTATCGGCCAACGTACATAATATCAAATATTTTAATGAAATTAAAAACCAGGTTTTCTTGCCGTTCTTAGTCTTCAAATCGTAGTATATTCTAGCGACTTCGTTTCGTTCGGGCTCGCTTATAGTAGCCATAAGCTAAAATATACATATAATATACAACTGGCACTCATGGACAAATTTTATAGTAATCATCTAATGTGTTACTCGATGTCATTGACTCTCTTTGTACTAAGTTTCATCAAAATCCATCCAGTCGTTTCAGTGTGAAGGAGTAACAAACAGACACGCACATACACACACACACACACACACATACAAAACCTCATTTTTTTATTTACAGTATGAATAAATATGTACTTATTCTAAAAATACTTACGTCTGACGAAACTCTGCGCTTCCAAGCTTGACGTGATCGCGAGGAGGCATATGGCCACGAAGGCCCCTCTTTGTATAATCATTTTTATCACTTAATTATCGCATTTATTTCGTTTGCACAACCCGATCGAGTTCTGTTAAACAAGAGTTGTTTTGCAACAGTGTCCCAATTAAATATTTTCCCATTTACACTCCACACAACTTTGTATATTTTTCCGATCGAAAACTTTATTTTAGTTTTTGGCAGATGATAAAAACGGATTATAGTAAGATAGCATTCTGTTAGATCTTATAAACATGCTCCTACACGTCCTAGTTACTAGATCTTATTTGTAGCTATTATGAGTTAAGATTATAGTAAACTAGCAGAACCCGCGGCTTCGCTCAAGCTAAAACAAAAAAAAAACTCTAAAAAGGTAGGTTTTATACAAACTTTCATCCCACATTTTACACTATAGGGTGAATTTCGAAAAATGCTAAAACACGTATTTATTTAATTGTATTGAAAAGCATTCATACTAAGTTTCAAGTAATTCTGATCATAAATATTTTTTTGGGTTGTATTATAACGTGTATTCCTGTAGGAATGAGATAAACTCCCGCAGTAAAAAGTAGCCTATGTTACTCTACAACTCTCCAACTATCTCCACATAAAAAATTACGCCAATCCGTCACTCTGTTATTACGTGAAAGAAGGACAAACAAACACACTTTCATATTTATAATATTAGTTAGTATGGATGTTTTCATTTTATTATATTTCTTTAAGGATTGTCGTTATTAATATAAAATGTAATTATTAATAAACATAACCTATGAGTCCTAAAATATTTCAATGCAAAAAATATTATGGAACCGCAGGTTCAACTTGATATCTGCCCGAGATTCAATTCATTGTGAAATCTAATAGTTATTACAGATATTAATAATTTTTGAAAAATTGATTTGCTAATAATTTAAAATGAATTAGATTTTGTAGTAGGAAATTAAAAACTGCGTCAGTCTAATCAAGATTAGATACAATATCGTTAGACACATACAGTCAAGGTTGTCGAGGATTTCGGCACTATCAACGTGATAAAATACCTCTCAGAGCTCCTAAGCTAAAATCTTAAACTAATTTCGGAATTTTCATGTTGCGACACGTTATTTACATCTAAATAAGTTTTTTACCAATATAGTATTTAACTTCCATCTTTCTTTATATTGACTTCATATTTTTATGTAATGTTTATTAACATTAAATTATTAGAAACATTAATATACATATAAGTTTTAAATTTTAAGCACGATCTTTTGTCATATTTTCCAGTTACACAGTTATTTGTATGTCATTGGCAGTAACGCGATACTGATTTACATGAAAAGTGCATTGTGACTGTGAGGCCGATATAATTGAAGCGCCGTAACAAAATAAACAACAAAGATTTTTTTTTTAAATTTTCTACCACTGGATAATTATTTTAGAAATTAATTATTTCTTTATATATTTGCTGAATAAAATTGTTTGGAATTTCATATAATCCTACTCATGTCATTTCTCTCCTATAAACAAGTACTTATATAGCAATTATATGGATATTTATTTTATTTTAGTTAAAACGCAAGAAACTAATAAAAATAAAATAGGTATAAACTATGTCAATGTAGAGTATAATATTAAAATTAATTCATATGTGTGTTAATGCACACATGATCTCAAAACTAAAGTTAAATACTTTATCGTTGTGCCTATTATATTATCGTCCTTAGCCTAAACATTTACCTTATGAAAAATGCAAAACCTGTTTGTCAGCAATGGACCAAGGCGAGTTTCGCATAGATATATTTTATAGGCGGGGTAGTCACATAGGCTATTTTTCTGAGACATGAATCACTACCTGTTCGACATTTAAGTTTAGATAACTGATTAAAGAGAGGGCATGCCAATATTCTAGTAATAAATATAAAATACTCCAGAATCTTCTTATTTACTTTTAATGTCTTTATTCTGGTAACTAGCGCATGTGAACCAGTATTTTATTTTTGTAACCAAGCCCTTGAAATGCGAGCATCTGGTTTCCACATTAGACATTACATCAATAACGCGCCATCTTACAATAACGTCATCATATCTTTCAATCATAAAAAATATATCTACTAACTAAATTATTAAACATGAGCTTGAGGCATATGTAGGATATAGTAAAAGTCAATTATTGTTGTACAGTTTTAACTTTTAACCAACTTCAAAAAACGAGGTGCTCAATTCTGATGTATAATTTTTCATGTGTACGTCACGGGATATTATCGGCCATCGTAAACTGATTTTCACGATTTTAGTTACTAATATTTAGCTGTAGTTTTAGTTGGGGTAGGTATACAAAATTGTTCATTTCGACATCAAAATCACGTATCGAAAGTATTTCGATGTACCTTTTGAAAATTTGTCACTTGCATTCGAGGCATATGTTTATTAGATTTTTTTTATATTTTTTAAATTGTTTAATTTAAATCGGTCTTGTCCAGATATGCAGATTCAGTGGTACGATTGACGTGCTCTCTAATAAACATGCTTATCGGCTGCAGAGCAAAACAAATGCAAGCAAAGCTTTATACCCTTATACATGACACAGTGAAAAATGAGATTGTACATCTCATTTTACATTTTTTATTGTGTGTGGGAAACAAAGTGATCTCATAGGTACAACAAATTATTATTATTGTAATCACATTGACTACATTTTTATTTTAAATGTTTTTATGTTTCATTTATTCATATTTATTTTAAAGGTTTCTATTTTGTTTTCAGGTTTTTTTAATATAAACCATCGTGTTCGCTTAAAAGAAAAATAAGTATATTTTATTTGTCTTTTAAGCGAACTATCATACTTAGAAGATGTTATTTATAGAAATCAAACCTGCGTCCCCACAAAGTCTATCTTCATCTTAATAGTAAATCTTTAATAGTTAGTAGCGTATAGTAACTGGTTTTACTTATTTCTCGCGTTTAAAACACTTGACTAATGTGCGTAAGGTTTCCACGCGACTACCGTACCTCGTCAACTTAAACGACTCAAATGTGAACTCCTTTGAAATTATGCCTATGTTAGGTAAGCGTTAGTGATTAATGTTATATTTTCCACTGTTATTTTTTCATCTAATCTAAGGAAATATGACTTCTTTATACATCAACAACATTTAATATATAAATTAATACTTGATACTAATAAATTAATAAGGTTGTCAATCAAGTCTAGTTTTATATGTATAACTTGATCCCCCTGTTTTACTCACCCTGGGGTTATATTATATCAAATAGCTAAAGCTATAAATATATCTGTAGCTAGGGACTAGTACAGTGATTATGGCGAGACAGTAAAAATTACTAGGTACTGTTGATATTATTTATCTGGCGTCGTGTTTATATATAGCAGATATTATATAAATATAACATGACAACAGTATAAATCTGGCTTAGTACAATTCTCAAGATAGTGTAACGTATATGTTGCCTAATGTCAAAATACTATTTAAACACACAAAACTAGTGGAAAATTTATTGTTTGTGCAGCTAATCTCTAAAATCGCACTTCCGATTTGATTCTTTGTAGTAGTATCTACATAAAAACTAAATTAAAGTTTGATAATATTATAATAGTACAGAAATATTAGCTAAATCAATGATTGCAACAAAAAGACCAAATACAAAGAGGTTCAAATTATGGCTTTAGTAATAAATGTGCAGATCATAGGTTTGAAATGTGCACACTATTTATTATACTTACTCGTAAAAAGCATTGAGAATCGTCGTCATCTACACAAAATTTGATTTTGAAAAAAAGATATATCGATGCCTATGCTTGAAGAAATAAAAAAAATACGATTATAAACGCTAAAGTGTGATTTATTCCTTTACTAAACAAGGAAATCGAAGATACGTACATTTGCAAGGGTAACTTTTTAACCAAGTACCTACATAAAGAAATTCGCGTAGTAAAAAGTATTACTTTTTTTTGAAAGGATCAATTAAAATGCACTAAGTGAAGTGAAGACCTAACTTAGATATTCTAAATCTGTAAACCCACAAATATAACTCATATTTTATTAAAATGTTTCATTAATATTATCTATGCATAATTAAACGTAGTTATGTATGAAAAGCAAAATAAACGTAAGGACCGTAGATCCCTATGTGTACTTTCCAGATAAAAAAATCGTTTGTAGTCACTCACCTCACCGACATATTCAAAATGTGTCATTCTTTTACAAAGCAAGCTCACTGTCAGTACAACGCTAGCCTATAATGGATAGACACCATTTTCTATTTTTCAATCACTTCAGTAAATTAGGTCGAGCAAAATTTAAAAATATATTAATAAGCTTTGTTGCATCATATTAACGATGAATTATTATTTAACTAAATATGTTATAAAATTGAAATACAAATTGAATTTATCATTCAGGTAGCTATATTTATTTATAGTTACCGTTTCATGATAATAATTAGCCTACAACAGATTGGCAACGTTTCCTAACAATCTAATTAACCATTATCTTACCGTACAATTTATATTATGTATTCGATTTACCATTAATAATTTCACTTTGAATTCATATGCAGTGCTTTAGATATTTTAGGCTACGCAAAGATATAAGTAAAGCTTTTTTTCACTCTCTCCTTTAGATATGTTGATTAAATTTAGTATGAAATCGTAAAAACTGGTACATAGAAAAAATAATTAATGAAAAACACGAGCTATAGGAAGGTATAACGAATGCCGTCCCTATAACACAAAGCGAAACCAATCGCCTCATTCAAGCTAATGTCCTATAAATTGGCCAAAGAAAATTGTCTACAGAACTATTATTGTGGTTAAGTAAAAACTTAATCAAATTGATTGCTCAACTGTGGTTTCTAACCGCCCTTCGTGCGTTACCTACTTCGAGTCATAATGTCAGAGTTTTATAATATACATATGAATATTGCCAACAAGAGTAATTTAGAGTTATTATTATATTACTAGCAGTTTACCCTGTCTTGGCTCAGATATACCCCGACTAATGTGCAAATCGTAGTCTATCTATATACTCAATTTCATCT